CACATCACAGTCACTCAGAGTCCATAGTTTAACTAAGGGTTCACTCTTGGTGTTGTACAGTGAGTTTGGACAAATTTATAACAACTATATATCCATCATTGTACTATCATAGAGAATATTTTTACTGCCCTAAAATTCCTCCGTGCTCTGCCTATTCATCCCTCCCCACTATTTGCATTTCAGGCAGCCACTGATCTTTTTTATTATTTCCATAGTTTACCTTTTCCAGAACATCATATACTTGGAATCATACGGTATGTAGCCTTCTCAGATTGACTTTTTTTCACTTAGTAATATGAATTTAAGGTTCCTCCATGTTTTTTCATGGCTTGATAACTCGTTCTTTTTGGTCTGAATAATATTCTGTTGTCTGGATGTACCACCGATTATCCATTCACCTATTGAAGAGCATCTTGTTTGCTTCCAAATTTTGACAATTATGAATGCAGCTGCTATAAATATTCACATGGGTGTTATTGTGTAGACAGAAGTTTTCAAACCCTTTGGGTAGATATCAGAAGAGTAATTGCTGGGTCATATGGTAAGAGTACATTTTTGTTTTGTTTTGTTTGTTTTGTTTTGTTTTAGAGAGAGAGAGAGCGCACGTGCAAATGCATGCGAGCAGGAGGGGGAGGAGGGAAGAGAGAGAAACTTAAGCATGCCCAGCACAGAGCCCGACACAGGGCTTGATCTCACCACCCTGAGATCATGACCAGAGCCAGAATCAAGAGTCAGACGCTTAACTGAATGAGCCACCCAGGCGCCCCAAGAATGTTTTGTTTTGTGAGAAAATGCCAAACTGTCTTCCAATGTAACTCCATTTTGCATTCCCACCAGCAATAAGTGAGAATTCTTGTCGCTCCACATCTCCACCAGCATTTGGTGTTGTCAATGTTCCAGATTTTGGCCATCTAATAGGTATATAGTAGTATCTCGTTGTTTTAATTTGCATTTCCCTGATAAAATATGATGTGGAGCATCTTTTCATATTCCTTTTTGCTATCTGTATATCTTCTCTGGTGAGGTGTTTGTTATGGTCCCATTTTTTAAATTGAGCTGTTTTCTCATTGTTGAGTTTTAAGAGTTCTTTGTATATTTTATTTTATTTTTTTTAAAAGATTTTATTTATTTTTATTTGAGAGAGAGAGAATGAGAGAGAGAGAGAGCATGAGAGGGGGGAGGGTCAGAGGGAGAAGCAGGCTCCTCGCCGAGCAGGGAGCCCGATGCGGGACTCGATCCCGGGACTCCAGGACCATGACCTGAGCCGAAGGCAGTTGCTTAACCGACTGAGCCACCCAGGCGCCCAAGAGTTCTTTGTATATTTTAGGTAACAGTCCTTTATCAGGTGTGTATTTTGCAAATATTTTCTCCTAGTCTGTGACTTATCCACTAATTCTCTTGATGTTGTTTTTCACAAGGCAAACGTTTTTAATTTTAATGAAGTATAACTTATCAACTTTTCTTTCATGGATCATGTCTTTGGTGTTGTATCTAAAAAGGCATCACCATACCCAAAGTCATCTAGGTTTTCTCCTATGTTATCTCCTAGGAGTTTTATGCTTTTGTGTTTTACATTTAGGTCTATGATCCATTTTGAATTAATTTTTGTGAAGGGTGTAAGGCCTAGACAGATTTTTTTACATGTAAATGTCTGGTTATTCCAGAATCTTGTTAAAAATAATATCTTAGCTCCATTGTATTACCTTGGCTCCTTTGTGAAAATCATTGACTATATTTATGTGAATCTATTTCTGGGCTCTCTATTCTGTTCCATTGAACTATTTTTCTTTCACCAACACCACACTGTCTTTTTTTTTTTAAGATTTTATTTATTTATTTATCAGAGAGAGAGAGAGCCTGCCCAAGCATGGGGAGACCAGGCAGAGGGAGAAGCAGGCTCCCCACTGAGCAGGGGGCCTGACGCGGGACTTGATCCCAGGAGGATCATGACCTGAGCTGGAGGCAGATGCTTAACCAACTGAGCCACCCAGCATCCCAACACCACACTGTCTTGATTACTGTAACTGTATAGTAAGTCTTGAAGTCAGGTACCATAGTCCTTCAACTTTGTTCTTCTCCAATATTGTATTGGCTCTTCTGGGTCTTTTACCTCTCTGTATAAAATTTAGAAATGGTTTGTTGACATCTATAAAATAACCTTCTGGAGTTTTGATTGGGATTGAGTTGGGAAGAATTGACATCTTGACAATATTGGGTCTTCCTATCTGTGAACATGGAATATCTCTCCATTTACTTATTTTTACATCTTATTCATGAGAATTTTTTTTAGTTTTCTTCATAAAGATCTTGTGTATATTTTGTTAGGTTTATACTTAAGTATTTCGTTTTGGGGGGTGCTAATATGAATGGTATTATGTTTTTTCATTTCAAATTCCACTTATTCATTGCTGGTATATAGGAAAGAAACTAACTTTTTATATATTAACCTTGTATCCTTTCTATAATTGCTTGTCACTTCCAAGAGATTTTTTTTGTTGATTCTTACAGATTTTCTACATAGATGATCATGTCATCTGTGAATAAAGATGTATTTCCCAATATGCGTAACTTTTATTTCCTTTTCTTGCCATATTGCATTAGCAAGGACTTCCAGTTCGATGTTGAAAAAGAGTAGTGAGAGGGGACATTTTTGCCTGGTACCTGATTTTAGTGGGAAACCTTCAAGTTTCTCAGTATTAAGTATGATGTTAGCTGTAAATTTTTTGCAGATTTTATCAAGTTGAGAAAGTTTCCTTCTATTCCTACTTTACTGAGAATTTTTATTATGAATGGGTGTTGGATTTTGTCAAATGCTTTTTCTGCATCTATTGATATGATCATGCAATTTTTCATTTTTAGTCTGTTGATGTGCTAGATTACATTAATTGATTTTGAATGTTAAACCAGCTTTCCATACCTGGAATAAATCCCACTTGGCTGTGGTATACAATTCTTTTTATACTTTTTTGGGTTCTATTTACTAATGTTTTGAGGATTTTTACGTCTATGTTCATGAGATATATTGGCCTGTAGTTTTCCTTTCTTATAATGCCTTTGTCTGGTTTTGGTATTAGCGTAATGCTGACCTCATAGAATGAGTGAGGAAGCATTCCCTCTTTTTATATCCTCTGCAAGAGATGGTAGAAAATTGGCTAAATTTCTTCCTAACTATTTGATAGAATTTACCAGGGAACCCATCTGGGCCTGATGCTTTCTCTTTTAGAAGGTTATTAATATTATTTATTTATTTAATGGATATAGATAGGCCTATTCAGACCATCTACTTCCTCTTGCATCTTTCAAGGAATTCATTCATTTCATCTAGGTTATTAAATTTATGAGCATAGAGTTGTTCATAATATTCCTTTATTATCCTTTTAATTTCCATAGAGTCTGCAGTGTTGTTCTTCTCTCATTTTGATGTTAGTAATTTGTGTCCTCTCCTTTTTTCTTAGTTAGCCTGGCTAGAGGCTTATCAACTTTATTGATCTTTTCAAAGAACTAGCTTTTAGTTTCATTGATTTTCTCTATTGATTTTGTTTTCAATCTCTTTGATTTCTGCTCTAATTCTTATTATTTCTTTTCTTCTACTTTTTATTTTTCTCTGCTTTTTCTAGCTTCCTAAGGTAGAAACTTAGGTGATTGATTTTAGATCTCTCTCCTTTTCTAATATATGTATTCAATGCTATAAATTTTCCTCTAAGCATTATATCTCACAAATTTTGATAAGTTGTATTTTCATTTTCATTAGTTCAAAATATATTAAAATTTGTCTTGAGATTTTTTTTTCCTTTGCTCATGTTATTTAGAAATGTGTTGTTTAATGTCCATGTATTTTATGGTTTTCCAGTTATCTTTTGTTATCAATGTCTAGTTTAATTCCCGAAATTGTGAGCTGAGAGCAGACATTGTAGAATTCTATTCTTTTGAATTTATTAAGTGGTATTTTGTGGCCTGAAATGTGGTCTACCTTGGCGAATGATCCATATGACTTTGAGAAAAATGTACATCCATTCTATGGATGAAATAGTCTATAGATGGCGATTATATTCAGCTGATTGATGGTGTGACTGAGTTTAGCTGTATTCTTCCTGATTTCCTGCCTACCAGATCTGCCTGTTTCTGAGAAAAGGATATTGGCATCTCCAACTATGATAGTGGATTCATCTATGTCTTCTTTCTGTTTTATCAGTTTTTGCCTCATGCAGTTTCATGCTGTGCTGTTAGATGCATACACCTTAAGAATTGTTACATCTTCTTGGAGAGTTGACCCATTTAACATTATGTAATGCCCTTCTTTTTCCCTGATAACTTTCCTTACTTTGAAGTCTGGTCTGTATGAAATTAACATAGCTGTGCCTGCTTTCTTTTGATTGGTGTTAGCATGGTGTATTTTTCTCTATCCATTTACTTTTCATCTATGTGTGTCTTCATATTTAAAGTGGGTTTCTCGTAGACAATATATAATTGGTTCTTGGTTTCGATCCACTATAACAGTCTCTTTTTTATTTGTTGCATTTAGACCAGTGACATTCAAAGTAACTACGGATATAGTTGAATTAATATCTGCCATAAGCATTACTGTTTTCTACTTGTTGTCCTAAGTCTTTGTTCCTATTTTTGTCTTCCATTCCTTTTCTGGCTTTTATGCTTTTAATTGAGGATTTCATATAATTTCATTTTTTCTCCTTTCCTAGCAAATCCATTTTACTTTTTACTTTTTTTAATCATTGTCCTAGAGTTTGCAATATACATTTACAACATCAATCCATGTCCACTTTCAAATAACACTATACCACATCATGGGTAATGTGAGTACCTTATAATAACAAAATAATCCTAATTCCTTCCTCTCATCCCTTGTACCTGCTATTCATTTCACTCATATATGAGGATAAATATATATATATGTCGTTAATACATATATGTATACAAGTATACATAAATATATGTGTATATGTATGCGTAATACATATAATTGAACACATTATTGCTGTTGTTATTTTAAACAAACTGTTGTCTCTTAGATCAATTAGGAATAAGAAAATAAAAGTTTTTATTTTACCTTTACTTTTTACTTCTTTGATACTCTCTTTTTTTCTTTATGTATATCTGAGATTCTGATCTATGTTATTTTCCTTCTCTCCAAAAACTTCTTTGAAAATTTCTTGCATGGCAGGTCTACTGGCAACAAATTCTCTGGATTTTTGTTTATTTGAGAAAGTCTTTATTTCTCCTTAGCCTTTTGAAGGATAATTTTGCAGGGTACAGAATTCTAGGTTGGTGGTTTTTTGGTCTCAACTTTTTTTTAAAAGATTTTATTTATTTATTTAAAGGGAGGGAGAGTGTACATGAGCAGGGGGAGGGGCAGAGGGAGAGGAGAATCTCAAGCAGACAATGTGCTGAGTGCAAAGGGTGATGCAGGGCTCAATCTCATGACCCCAAGATCATGACCTGAGCTGAAATCAAGAGTTGGAAACTCAACTGACTGAGCCACCCAGGTGCCCTCTCTCAACATTTTAAATATTTCATGCCATTCTCTTCTTGCTTGCATGGTTTCTTAGGAGAAGTCAGATGTATTTCTTATCTTAGCTCCTCTGTAGGTAAGATTTTTTTTCCTCTGGCTTCTTTCACAATTATTCTTTATCTTTGATTTTCTGTAATTTGAAAATGATGTGTCAAAATATAGTGGTTTTTTGATATTCATTCTGCTTGGTGTTTTCTGAACTTCCTGGATCTCTGGTTTGATATCTGACATTTAATTTGGGGAAATTCTCAGTCATTATTGTTTAAAGTATTTCTTCTGTTCCTTTCTCCCTTTTTTCTCCTTCTGGCATTCTCATTATGTGTATATTACACCTTTTGTAGTTGTCCCATAGTCCTTGGCTATTCTGTTTTTGTTGTTTGTTGGTCTTTATTCTCTTTGCTTTTTGGTTTTTGAGGATTCTATTGAGATATCCTCAAACTCAGAGATTCTCTCCTCAAATGTGTCCAGTCTGCTAATAAGCCCATCAAAGGTATTCTTCATTTCTGTTACAGTGTTTTCATCTCTAGCATTTCTTTTTGGTTCTTTCTTAGGATTTCCATCCCTCTGTTTACATTGCCCCTCAGTTCTTGCATGCTATCTACTTTATTCATTATAGCCCTTAGCATATTAATCATAGTTACTTTAAATTCCCTATCTGAAAATTACAACATCCCTGCCATGTCTGTTTCTGATGTTTGCTCTAGCTCTTCAAATTATGTTATTTTACCTTTTGATATGCTTTGTAATTTTTTCTTGATTGCCAGGCATGGTAAATCAGCCTTTGGTAATGTGGGGGGTGGGGGAGGGAAGCATTCTACGGTCTTATGATTGTGTCTCAGTCTTTTAGTGAGCCTATGCCTCTGGATTGTGAACTTCACAAGTGTTTCTCAGGTTTTTGCTCCCTTTGTGTGAAAGAGGATGGCTAACGGGTGGAGTTGGGTATTTCCCTTCCCCAGGTCAGTTAGGCTCTGATAATAGTCTAGCAGGTTAGCCAACAGCTAACAGGTTTCCCCCAAGGGCAGGCTTTGTTAGCAAGGACAGAGTTCTTTGGCTATTTCAAAATGGTTCCACTTCTCCTCCCTGTGCCAGTAACCCAGCAGGGTTTCTCTCTGGTACGCACTATGGGAACCTGGTGGAGCTCCTGGAGATAAATCTCACAATCCTGTGGCATCCCCCTATGCCTGGCTCCCCTGGAGTTTTGAACTCAGAATAGTCTGCACCACCTCTCCTTCAGGCAATTCACCTACTGCAGTTCAGATTTTCCTATCCTGGCAATGGTTTCTGCAATGGTTTGCTGCATGAGAGTCTCTGCTCCAGTATGCTTGTCTTTCCAAGCTTATTCCAATTTGTATTTGCCTGACTTTCCAATCTTGAGGGCACTGGTTTGCCTGTGTCCTCTCCTCTCTTGCAGATCCAAGAAGACTTGTTGATTTTTCAGTCTGTTCGTTTTTTTCACTTGTTGTTAGGATGGAATAGTGACGTCTAAGCTCCTTATATGTGGAACCAGAAGTCATAAGTACCCTCCTTCTACACTTCACATTACAAATCAACCAGGAATAATTCTCTTCCCCTCTTGGCTAGAGAGACTTGATGAGTCCTCAGGGACTTCGAGTTACCACATTCTCCCCACCATCCTGAAGAGACACTGAAGCCAGCAACATCACTCTCAGCTCCAGGGAAAAGGCAGGGAGGGAGACAGACAGTTGAGGGGGGTCATATACAAAAAGAAGATAGATTTCAAGTTTTCTTAATGACTTTAATTGGAGACTCGAACCCTGTAAACCATAGTTCAAGCCTAGTTCTGTGGGACAGTGTCTGGTTCTCCCTGAGGTCATGGGAGGAGAAATGCATAATTGAGGTTGGAACAGGGAGCCCCTGTCTTTAATTCCAGAGTAATTCCAGCAAACTATGGCTGCTGGATAAGCCTTAAAATAATTGTTAATGTCACCAAGCTATAAGTTCCTTTCTTCAGATGCAAAATCTTCCTCCTATTTGGGGAAGTCTTTCACAAACTATGTGGGATCAAAATACACCTCTGTACCTGCACTAAACATCTACAAGTAGAAAGCTTCTTAATGCAGTCACTGAACTGGCTGCAAAAACACTCAGGCCTAGAGAAGTTCACTCCCTCCCAAGCTCACTCACTGTGCTAACCCACTATCCCCTTCATCAAGCATCAGAAGTTCTCCCAGACCCTGTTCTGAGAGGATAGAACCCTAGAAAAGACCAAATACCCACTGCTTGATTTCCATGACCAGAGTCCTTTGAGGCCCCAACATAGGGCTGAACTACAGTTTGCAAAGCTGTGTATGATAACAGCTATTATAGTAACCTTGAATTTTTATCTGCTGTTCTTCTTAAGAACAATTGAAAACACCTTCACAGTAATGATATCATCAGGTTTGCCCTCTCACCGACTCCAAAAAGAAGAAAGGGGGCAAACCCCTTCCCTTTACATTAAAAGGAAACATGAGGCCTGGAGAGAGGTCAAGGACTTGTCTATGGTTTCACCTCCCATCAGGGCAAAGGGCTACAGAGGGCTCCCATCTTCTCTGTCTGGACTCTATTTGCAAAATGCTGGAGCACAAAGATTTGACTGTTTCTCTGCATTTTTCTTATTTGTGTCTTTTCTCTCTTAACAATAAGGGCATTTCTAGACTTGGTAACCCCTCCCAGTCTCCTCCAGCCCCCTGCAGCCCAGAGCAGATAGCCCCTGAGTCCTGCAGGAATTCTCACTGCCCTCATGCTCCTATCTGGCTCCAAGCTCTATTGGGTGGAAGACACCACGTATGCTGTGGCGATGTATTTCTTGCCATTTCCATAGGTGGACTTGTCCCAGGGATAGGTCTGGATGGCCAGGGGATATCCACCCAGGCTTAACTGGCACCTGTGGGGAAAGATGGCCAAGTCATAGGAGCCCACCACATCTCTCCATGCCCATCCCCTGACTGGGAAGATCAAGCCCAACCCATGCAGAAGGGCTCCGCCCTGACTTCAACAACCCCCAGGAGAACTGCCACAGCTTTCTTCAGACATTGCCTCCCACTCCCCATGCACAGGCAGCCCTTCAAAATTGTGCCTTAGTTTCTATCTTCTTAAAGAACCCTGCTCCTCACATTTCCCAGAACAGTATTCTAAAATCTCAGATTCTAGAGCTGAACCCCCCAGAAATTAAATGTCTGCTTAGGGTTTCAGAAGTAGTAGGACCCAAAGTCCTCAGATGTTAGAAGAGATGAAGCCCAGTGGTTTCAAGCTATACTCTCTGGGGCTTCAGGTTTCCCCCTAGCAGCCTTGGGGACCAGATAGAGAGGGTTGGAGCACCAGGGCAACTCCATTCCTAACTGTTTTACATATGAAGGTTCTGCGTAAGATTTCACATGGTGGTTCTGCTGCTAAGATAAAGTTTGGCAACCACCAGTCTTATCTAACAACCTCATTGCCCAGGTGAGAAAACTGAGGTGCAGAAGGGTGATTTGTCCAAGCCACTAAGTTGCAGAATCCAGCTCTCCTGATTGTCCTGGCTGAGGAGAGCCTGTGGCCCCAGCCTGCTCCCCAGGCCTGGCTGGCCCAGTACTTACACTTTGCCTGGCCTAGCAATGAAGCACAGGGAGTAGAGCGCAAACTCAAATTCAGGGCTGCTCCCAATGAAAGCTGAGCCCACTTCCTTATAGTAGCCGTCCCAGTTGAACTGCATGGCTAACACGTCGGGGTAAGAATCCCACTGTGGAGAGTAGCAAAGGGGGCCTGGTGAATACCATGAGCAGAGTCTGACAGAGAGGTGGCACATGGTTAGCAGTCAGCCAGGGTTTGCTGATGGCCCGTTAGGGGCCTGTGTGAGTTTTCTGGGGAGGCTGGATTCTTTACGTGGACCAAGGAAACAGTCTGCCCTGCTAAGGTGTCTGAGCCCTACTTGGACCCTCTGTCTGGAGCTGCCAGTGTGCGTCTCCCAGAGAGGCCAGAGCCCACATTCCTGTGACTGCCACCAGGGCCGCGGGGGCCATGACTGTTTCTTGTGGCCATCACACGTGGAGGAGGACAATTTATTGTCCCCAAATTATTTCCTGGCACAGGGCAGCAAAGGTTTCTTTTTTATAAAATGTAAGGAGTTGAACTCAGACTAGCCAGGCTGAAACTTCCAGCCAAAGCCACATTCTAAGGAAATTTGGGCAGGGGGTCATTACACACCTTTGAGACTTGTCTTCCCCTCTGAGGATCCTCGCCTGCCCCCAGCCTCCCATCCAGGGATAGTGCTGTCTGCCTCCTGCCCTCTGCAGCTCTGGAGCCTTCACTGTTTGGAAGGGAATCTCAGGGTCCTGGCTGCCTATCCAACAGATCGGGAAGTCATCTTCACCATCCCCACTGGGCGGCCAATGAGAGTCAGGGTGAGAGGCAAGTCTGGCTGCTGAGAGTGCAGAGTGAGGGCAGGAGGTCTGGGTACTAATAAGCTTCTCCAGCCCACGAGGTCAGCACTCAGTACTCACGGGGCCGTCATAGACGTGACTGTAATAGTCAACCAGGCCCTCCTTCTCTTGCATATAGAAGCGGATCCAGTTATGGAAGCCGGTGACCTTGCCTTTTTTTATTTCACCTATAATGAAGAGTTCAAGGTGGGTGATCTGGGCCTCCCCTCCAACCCCTTTTGCCCCTCCCATGCCAAGGCTGTCCCCCTTCTTGAGACTTTGGCTTGTAGAATGCACACCTGCTTATCCCCTTGCCCTGACTCCCCAGCATCCCACACATCCCTTAACTCTCACCCAGGAAAGCCCTCCCCACCCCCTTTCAGCTTAAGCCCTTGGGAGAATTCCTCCTCCTGGTTGGCCCCTGGTGACCCATCTGGGATATTCCTCTCAGCCATTTCTCCAGTAGCAAGCCAAATTTGGTAGGAGCTTTATGGGGTGGAACAGTGGGCAGAAAGACCTTGGCCCTCTTGGAAAGCAGAGAACCATTCAGAAATAGACAGCTCTGCCCCCAAACACACCTCCTTCCTATGTGTGCCCTTTGGGAGCCCCAGTATCTGGTCTCCTTTCCCCTTTAAATACTCCAGAAGAGACTGTTCCTCAAAAACAGCTCCTCGGACCCCTCCATCTTGGCTTGGGAGTGGACATTGTCCGTCCCTGAGAGCTGGCTCGGCTGCTGATTCATCAGTGCCTGATGCTGCCCTACTCCTGAGGGAAGCCGTCTCCCTTCATTCCTCCAACTCTTTCTTTCCAAGCAGAATGATCCCACCTGAGAAGATGTGTTCAAAGCCACTTGAGTCCTCCTCTTCATTGCCTCTTGAATAGAGCCCAAACCACATGTTCTTCAAGTCATTGACAAACTCTTGTTCCGAGCTGTAGCGGTCTGCGGGGAGGAACACAGAGCACCTAAGAGAGGGGAAGGCGGAACCAGGTCCTGGGAAGCAGGGAAGGGCCACCTGCTCCAGCACATCAAGAAACACAGTGGTTCAACCAACAAGCGTGTTCAGCTGTCCATTCAGGCTGCCAGGTCTACAGGCTGAGGATTCAGCAGGGAATAGCAAGGACAAGATCACTGCTTTCATAGTTTCCATTCCAGTGGAAAAGACAAATAATAAACAATATGATCAGAAAGACCTCTCTGAGGAGGTACCACTAATCAGAGACATGAAGGAAAGGAGTCAACCACACAAAATCTGGGGAAAGATTCTTCCATGTGGTGGGAACAGCAGGTGCAAGGCTCTAAGACGACCTGGGCTTCGTGTTTAAAGAGCTAAGGAAAAGTCAGTGTGGCTAGAGCATAGTGAGCGCACGGGGCAGTGGGCAGACAGGAGGTCCGAGAGGTAGGCAGCGGCCAGGCCTCACAAGCCATGGCAAGAAAGTTGGGGGTCAGTCAAAAAGTAAAAATACAAAAATATTTTAGATTTACTGTCTCTGTTCTATGTGCCCCAACTGTTCTAAGTGCTTTCAGTCCTCACATTGAATCTTCACATAAGGTCGATACTAATTATCCCCAATTTAGAAATGAGGAAATTGAGGCAGACCAAGGTTATGTAACTCACACAAGATCACACAGTTAATAAGAGGTAGAAACGGCACTCAAGCCCGCGCGATCATTACACATGTTAACTGGTCTCTTAACGACTTTATAGCTTCTTAGAGGTGAGAGAGCCACCGAAGGGTGTAAAGCAGGGGAATTATGTGAGAGCTTTGTTCTTAAAGGCTCACCCTGGCTGTGTATATAAAAAAGTCAGTGGGGTGTAGGAGCCGGAGAGAGACCAGTTTTGAGGCTAACACTCTGTCCAGGTCAGAAGCAGTGGTGGCAGCCATGGGAGGGGGGGTGAGAAGCGGTCAGATCAGGGATAGATTTTGAAGGAGGATGTGACAGACGTTACTGATCGAGGAGTGGAGGTGGGGAGCCATGAGGTAAAGAGAAGAATTGAATATAACTCCTGGGGTTTGGGCCTGAGTAATGGGGTGGACTATGGTGTCATCGATGGGATGGGGAAGACTGAGGAAGGAGGAAGGGGTGGGAATCATGAGTTCTCTTCACACTAAGTTCCGAGTAGATGCCATGAGAGAGCCACGTGAGATGTTAGGCAGCTGGGGCAGGTGCAGCGTCGGCCATGAGGGATGTGAGCTAGAACTTGAAGGACAGTCTGGATTTGGACAGGGAGAGAGGTGAGGACAGGAGAAGTAATGGAACAGCCCGGCCTCAGTGTCGGATCCCTGGGTCCCAGACCCGGCTCCGCTCTGGACTTCCCTGGTCTCAGACCAGTCAGCCAGCCTGGCGGGCTTCTGTCCGGAAAGCTGGAGGGCGGGCCGGACTCCCAAGACTCTCGCTTGTGTTTGCGGCAGAGGACCGCCAGGGGGCGGTGCGGGATCGCGCCCTCTTCACAGGGGCGGCCTGTCCCCCGCTTTACCCAAAAACCGCCGGTGACTCACTCGTAAGGGAAGGCAGGCAAACGGAAGGCAGCCGCTCTGGGCAGAGGGGAGACCTGGACAAGAGCTGCCCAGGGGGCCCAGCCCAGCGGCCTGGAGTTCCGTGGAGGAATCTGCGGGACACGAAAGAAACACAACCCCTTGCCAAGAACTCCTGCGGCTCAAACCTTTTTTGGTCTGATTCAGATGTATCCCTATCTGGAGCCATGCTAGCCAGAACCCCTCCCGGGAGAAGCTCTGGGTGCTTTTCTGTTGCTGTTTCCCCATCAAAAACGTGGAGTGAGCCACGCATCCTTCCTGGAGCTGGAGCAGGAGAGAGGAGAATCAGGGACCCTCGGCGCCTCCGCGATCCGCTGAAGTGGGGCGGCGCGGGGTGACTCCGCGTCTTGCAGGGAGCCTGAGACTGGAGCAGTGAGTGCGGGGATGCGCGGCGGCCCAGAGCAGATCCGAGGAGAGCTGACTTCCGAGCCACACCGCCTTAGGCCCGTGGTCTCTCCGGGGCTCCTCTGTGGCCCCCTCGGAAGTCCGCTGGCCACCGCACACACACCCCCGCCCCACTCGCTTCACCTCCCCACCCTGGAGCCCCAGGCCTGCCAGGCCCTCGTGTCCTCAGCCCTGCCCCGTGGGGCTTGGGGAGGCTCACTCACTCTGGTGACGGAGGAAGCCATAGAGCTCCTTCAGGACCGCGGTCTTCATGACCTCTCCGAGGAAGGCGTCCTGCTCGGCCAGCTGCTGTGCACTGAAGTGCTCCCCGCGGCCCGTGGCCCGCTGGTAGTTGTTGAGGAGGCTGATGAAGGCCGCGTAGGTCGGCTTGGAGAACAGCTTCTCGTTGACATACGTGAAGAGCCTGGGGGAGGCGGAGGGAGGCCCGAGAGAGGCCTGAACATGGAGCAGAACCCGCACCCCCACCCCCGCAGGGGCGGCCAGACCCGGCGGGGCAGGCCTGCGAAGGTGCGCGGCCGGAGCAGAGTGGGGCGGTCAGCCCCTCCAGAAGGGTGTGCCTGAGGCGGCTCTTTTCTCCCGCTGCAGCGCTTGGAAGGTCGGTTCTCTTCGCAGCCCGTCAACCACAGAAACCCTCCCAGCTGCACACCCACAGTCCCTCAAGCTGTCTTTCTTTGTCTCCGAGACCTACTTTCTTCTCTCCCTTCGATCCTGCCTGCCCTGAGGAGAAAAGGGCTGAGGCGTGGAAGGAAGCGAAGCCAGCCGGGGGTGGGAGCCGGTGCGGGGCACTGCGCAGGAAGAGTGAAGGGGACTCACGGCTCTGGGCAGCGGTCCACGTGGTCTCTGGCCTCCGAGGGCGAGATGCGGTTTTGGCTGTTGAGAATGATGTCTTCCTTCTGGGCTTTGTTGATGTCCGCCCTGTAGATCTTCTCAGAGATGCTCTGTAGCTCCTCCTTGGTTATGGCGTCCCTGCTGTAGGAGAAGCCCTCTGGGAGGGATGGGGAGGGGGCTCTCAGCCCAAGGAAGGCCCTGGGGGAAGGGAGCAGTCTGTGGGCCCCCTCCCCTGGGCACCTTCCAGAAGCCGGCAGCCAGGGAAAGAGGCGGCAGTCCATCACCCTAATGGTTGGACGGCAGGGCCCTCGGGGCCTCAAGGCTACTTAAAATCGGCAGGTGGCCTCCCTGCAGAATGTCCACACACTCCTCTGCAAAGGTTCTCAAACTTGGGTGCCCACCAGAATCACCTGGAGGGCTTGTGAAAACAGGTCTGGGGGCCCCGCCCCCTGAGTTCCTGATTCAGTGGGTCTGGGGGGAAGCCCTAGAGTCTCCCTTTCTAATACAGCCCCAGATGGTCCTGACGCTGCAGGTCCAGGGAGCGCACCCGCAGGACTATTGCTCTGGAGAGTTCCTCGGTCCCTGGGGCCGCGCCAAAGGGAGCAGGAGACTGACCGTGGCCACACAGGCTCTCGAAGTCCTTGCAGCAGTTCCCAAACTCTGGGCAGCGGGCATTGCAGTGACACGGCTGGTGCCTGTCGAAGGCCTCGTGGCAGCGGTCCCGGCAGGAGCTGGGTGCCGAGTACAGGTCTGAGAGGACAGGGAGGGGTGTGTGTGTCCTGGACAGACCCCTAGAGGTCGCTTCGGGCCGGCCGCCGGGTTCTCCCAACACCCCCACCCCCACCACCCCAGCCTCGCCCTCCGCACTCCTAGTGAAGATCTCCAGGGAAGGAAAACAAACAGGCTGAACTGGTACACACCCTCCACGGTCAGGAAGCCCTTTCTGAGAGGCCAAACTCTACTTTCTGGCCTGTTGTTTTTATAATCTTCCCACCCTAAAAATAAAATCTCTTCCACTTCCCTCCATAGGCCTCAGACTCCCTTTCCTGCCTACACGCCAGGCTGCCGAGGCCAGCCCCTCGTACCACCTCCGGGTGCTGGGTTTGGGGTCCGCCTGGCTCAGGCCTGTGCCTGCTGCCACTGGGATGGCTGCCTCCTCCTTGTCACCTCCCACGTCCCTCCTCCTTTAGCCTACAGGCCCCCCTTTAGAAAGGCAGACTTACTGCTCGCTGGGGCCTCCAACATCTCTTCCTCCAGCCCCAGGAATGGCTCTGGCTCTTCGGGGTCCTCTTGCACTGTAGGTCAGAGAAGTAGAGTCACCAGCCCCCCCCCCGAGGGCTCCCTTCCCCTTATGTCCGATTCTCAGTTCCCCCAGCCTCCGGGACAAGCAGTGCGGTGGAAGAAAATACAAAACAGGGGCTAAGGCACAATGAACAAGGAGATAAACTGAAAATGGAAGACAGAAGGGGACAGATGGCTGAAAACTGTTACAAAAAGTGCAAAGAATTTCCCCAGGTGACAACTCTCCCCGCCACTTGAGCATTCTGGTACTCAGTGTGCTCATCCTTACAAAGAGGAGGGGAGGCAGGAAGGGGTGCCTTCTGGATTGAAAACCCTGATTGGGGTATAACTTTTCTTTAACGCGCTTTGATAGATGGACAGGCTTGCCCTTCTCCAAATGACAAGGCCCTCACTTAGGAACATCCCTTACCTATAATAACTCCCAGTCACGGTCAAGGGTGAACTCCACCCAGGCCCTCTGGGACTAAGAACTGTTTCCTGAGATACCAACTTCCCTTCTTTCTTTACAACACTTGGCAATGGCCACAGAGATGAGGGGAGGGCGTGTTCAGAAAAGCACGTTCATATTGCTGCCCCGTTCCCTTGGCCTGCAGGCTGTGTGACTGGAGCCTGGGCTGGGGGCAGAGCAGTGTGGGCAGAGTGGGGGTGGGGAGGAAGAGGAAGGATGCTCCTGGGGACACTGAGCTCCTTTCTCACACGCAGTGGGGTAATTTCCCCCAAAGAAGCAAAACGATTACAAAGTGATTCAGAATCCGTTAGTGAGTTTGCTGGATAGTGTTGTCTTATTACCATCAGAACCACAGGGCAGGTGATTTCGTTCAGCAACACACATCTTCTGATCACTTACTTGGTACCAGGCTGTGCTCTAAGTGCTGACAATCCACAAGGTCCTTAACTCCTCGAATGTTTTGCTAAAGAGACTTTCAAGGGCTGATTTAGAGTCTCAAGCATCATCCATATTTTTTTCTGTGGGAAAAGGATTCTGAGGTGCAAATCAGAGACTTGGAGATGGACTGACTCCTAAGCTAAGTATTTTCTGTGCTGTGAATGCCAGCCCGATGGTCCAAGGTAAACAGGCTCTCCTGTGTCTGCTGAATAGGGCACAAGGCAAGAGAAAGGTGCAGACTCTGATTCTGGCACTGAGCTCTGGACCTGGGTCTCCCTCCCTGGGCTTGATCAGCAGAACTTCTGCTGGTATAGATGGTGTTTTCATGTAAATTGAAGGAGGGTTCCTTCTGGGTGGAAGCAACCCAGTGGGCACATGGCTGGGTCAGCATATACCACCTTTGGGAAAATTAGGAAAAGGTACTTCTTTCTCTCAGCAGACACAACTCTTCACCAAGGCTCATGGGTTAGCAAGAAGGATATGGACTCTATTTTAGTCAACTTGCCTTCTCAGCCACGTGCCCCTGTGCAGTGCACAACCTGCACAACTGTATGTCATGGTCTTGCTAGCCATTCCCTACCATGGCTTTAGTGATCATGTTTTCCAAACTGAGAGTCGGGGCACCTGGTTTGACAGTGAACTTGACAAGGCTTCATGTCACAAAGCAGAAGACCATTTATCTGGCAGTCTAAAACACTGGAAGCATCCAAACAGGGAGATTATTCAAAACAATTTGTTCAAGTTATTCCTTTAAAACTATGTTGTTAGAGTAGCAGAGAAACGATTGGCTTCTGAGAGCAGTGCGTGTCCCATTTAGTCACTGGACAGGGAATGATAGGTTGAAAATGCTGCAGCCACTGGGTCCACTCATTATCGGAAGAATGGTGTGAATCACAACAGTCACTGTGACGCCGTGCAGGCTTCCTGGTGGCACGCAAGTTGGAAAGTTCTACTCCCTTTTTACACTTTTGCAATGTAAAGTGTTGAATTACAATTGGTAATGGGACTCATGTTATATTAATGTTTGTTACCATTCTGCTGTTTCTGGAATTACTTGAACTTTCAAAACATTGTTAATCCTGATAGTTCAGATAGATATTCCAGGTAAACAACCTATTTTCTTTGAAGTTGGGGTTTTATATTGGGGACGTCCTAGAATACCTGGGACAAGTAGTGGCCAAATCCCTGACCTTTGCGCTGCCCCTCAGTGTCCTCATCCCGGCCCCTGGAGTCTTGTCATCCATCTCGAACCCAGCTCTGAACCCGGGCCAGCGTCCATTCAGGCAGTCTGGGCGTGGACATGGGCTGGCCCGCTGTGCCTTCCAGACCCTTCACCCCACAAGGAGCCTCACCAGGACACAGGTGCTCATAGTCTTCACAGCAGTCCCCGTGCCGGGGACACTGGCGGTCACACTGGCAGGCAGCATCCCGGTTAAATTTCTCATGACAGCGAGATGCACAGGACTCCAATTTTCCTGCGGGCAATAAAGGTCACAAACTCAGCTCTGTGAGGATCCTATTCTCCTCATCAAGGTGCACCCTGCAGTAAGGTTTGCAGACAGGGGCACGGGCCCCACCTAGCAGGGAAGATCATCGCTATCTGCAAGGGAGAAATACATGCGCAACCTCTCACGCACCAGCAGAAGCCTCATCCCCACCACCCACCACCCACCCTATGTTGCAGGGCTCATTATATAGATGAGGATCACAGACTCGAATGCCCAGTGAGGCTAGACCTCTAACAGAAGCAAGTAAAGAAGCAAGGAGGCAGTAGGAATTGGTGGGGACCGTGACAAACTTGGAAGTGATGCTCAGCCTGAAATTGGCAGCCGCTATCAGCTCCAGCCACTTCTGCCATGTTGGGATGCAGGCTCAGTGTTGCCAGAGCCTCTAGTTTTTCAAGAGAAGCCTTTATTTTTATGTGAAGTTTTCCAATTTTTAAAAAATTCAGGCAGACCAACGAAAGAGGTCTGTAGGCTGGTCGTGACCCATAGGCCACCGTTCACCTGTCACGTAGATCAAGGTGAGTCACTGCTGCCCCAGTGATCCCACCTGCCCTCTCCCCTCTGACACCCCCTTCCTCTCATCCTGTCCCTTTTATGTCTTCTGTGCTTTGTTCTTTGCTCCCCTTCACCTGGTCTCCCCTGCATCCTGTTTCCCCCAGGTCCCATCTTTCTGTTTCTTCTAGTCTTTGGAATGCGTTTGAATTAGTTTATGCTCCGGTGGGGGAAGAGGCGAGTATGGGTGCAAATTGGATTCTGGAACAGGATTCGTTGTGTAACCACAGACCACATCCCTTACTCCAGCCACATGGCTTGCAGAAGCAAATTTTTGGTCACAAGGGGCATAGACAAAAAATTTTGAAAGAAATGGTACAAACCCACTACCACTCCTAAAAACACAACCCCCACCATGCCCACCCCAGCAAAGACAGTGTCAGGAGATATCTTTGGTGACAGCTGGCTTCAGGGGCCCTTTCCTTCCACTTTGAGCTTTAAGGGTAATTACAGAGTCTTTGTTTCCACTTGAGGTTCCTGAGGTTTGGATTTCGCGAATGCTGGGTTTAGGGGCCAGGCTGTGGGCGACGGAGGATGTCAAGATCAGAGTCAGTGTTGCCATTAGCATCGAATTTGTATGAACGCAGAAACTGAAACCTAATTTGGGCCAGAGTTAGGGTTAGTTAGGTTTAGATTAAGAGCTATGGTTGGCAGGAGCGCCCGAGTGGCTCAGTTGTTAAGCATCTGCCTTTGGCTCAGGTCCTGATCCCAGGGTCCCAGGATGGAGCCCTGCATCGGGCTCCCTGCTCAGCGGGAGCCTCCTTCTCTCTCTCCCTCTCCCCACCCCCTGCTTGTGCTCTCTCTCTCTCTCTCAAATAAATAAATGAAATCTTTTTAAAAAAAAGAGCTTTGGTTGGGATTTGGACTTGAGTTAAATTTGTTGATAAAGTAACAATTTTGTATTGCTGTTTGGCTGAGGAATGAGGAGATAGGTTTAACACCACTTCAGGGTTGAAGAGTGTGTCAGGATTAGGAGAAGAGAAATTATCCCACTTTTGCCTTCGATTAGATTTGGGGTTTGGTTCTGGTGGTGATTCCACACAGGTACAGTATCTCAATTTAAGCCTGGATTGGGTGGGAGGTGAATATTAAGGATATGGGTTTAGTTACTGTTTGGATCCTGGGCTTAGGGTTTATACGGTGTTCATGTGGGTGGCATAGCAAAGAGCTTGAGAACCTGGACTCTGGGGCCAAAACTGCATAGGGCTGGAATTCTGGTTCTGCTGCTTTCAAGCTATAAGGTCTTGGGCAAGTTATTTGACCTTCTGTGCCTCGGTTTCCTTATCTGTGAAAGTGGCATGACAATGGAGTCCATCTCATAGAATATTTATAAGAATTCAATGAGCTGATATTTGCAAAGCACTTAGTACAGCGCATGATACATAGTAGCAACATGTGCTGCTTAGATAAATAAACAGTGATAGGGTCCATGCCCAGCTCCAATGTGGCAAGCGCTCAGACTGGCTGGAGCAGTCTTCCCTGTGGACATACTTCATCTAGCTGACTCCCTCCCTGGGTTTCAGCTGGGCCGTCCCTTGGACTGGAGTGTCAGTGCATTTATGCTGCTGGCAGGTTCCCAGCTGACATCATTGCTGTGAGCCTGTATTCTTTACATTAAAGAGGTGTCAGGTCAAGGTTAACCAGGTCCTGATGCAGCCTCAAGTTGTGTCCAGGGCCTCCCACGCAGCCAGGGAGGCAGGCCTTTGATCCAGCGGATTGTCCTTAAAAAACAACCAGGCCCAAGGCCGCTTGTCCTTTCAGGGGAACTCCTCCTGAATCTTAAATGATGCTCCCTTGGAACCTGAATGCAAAGACCTTAAGGAGAAATTTTTAGGCCATGAGGAAGGCTCGGTCAGCTGCCTGCAAGGTCAGCCTGGCAGAACACCCAGAATCCAAAGGGAGAAAATTCAGACAAATCAAGGCAATGTTCACAATGGGCCAGATCAGCAGAGTCCCAGGAAAGAACTCACTTCATTCCAGTAGCTGGCACAGGTTGAGAAGGGCTCCGAGTGAATAGTCAGCTCTCTGGAGCTCAGGAGAGCACCCCCCACGGCCCTGGCTGAGTGGACTTTTTCATCTCTGTTCAAGAACTTTGTCCCCAGTAAGAACCGCCTTCCAGGGGTTCCCTGTAAACTTGGTCTGCTTCAAGAAGACCTTGGGATTTGAGGGTGGAGGGGAGAGGTAGGAGGGACTTTTCCTCATAGGCGCCTCGCTGTGCTGTCCTGGGGACACTCAGCAGACAAGTCACCCCGGCTCCCCACTCTGGTGTCCCCACCCTGTGCCTGCGAGCCACACAGGGCTTGGTATGAGCCTTGCTCACGGGCCAGATGTTGAGTCACTGCTTCAGCAACCATCTGCCCCTTGGCCTCTGCCTCATCTCTCTGAGCCTCTGCCTTCTTCATTTTGGCTTTGCCTATCTCAGACTCGGGGTTTCCCTCTATTCCCCTTGAAAAGCTTAGGGCCTCCCCTGTCTCATGAGATGCTGAATTTCTCTGCACTCTCCAAGACTTCAATATGCCAGAAGGCCCACTCCTTATCCATGCTGCCCACCAAGAGAGCCTGGTCCCAAACCTGGGTGTCCCTATTACACCAGCACTCAGCCACTCTGAGGGTCGGGGCATCATCCTACATCCGTGCCTGTTCAGGAGCCCCAGATGCTGTTTCCCTGGAGACCTAGTCAACCAAGAAGATTCATTTCCAGGACCAGCTTCCTGCCCCAGTTCACCCAAAACAACCAGGGTCCTAAGACTGGCCATGACTCCTCCATACGATCCATAGTCTTGCATCTGAGTTCTGAGATGTTGGAACTAGGATGGACAATGGCCGAGCCTCCTCCCACCCACCTTAGGAAAGAAGGAGGCATTGCCCACTGGACCTGCAACTCCCCATCCATCCCACAGCCAGGCTAGATCACCACCACCACCCCCCCCCAGGCGCAAGGGCTTCACATGCACTTCTGAAGGTACTGTTGCCTCTGTCCTTGGGCATGGCTGCCCAGAGACCCAGTGTCTCAAGTCGTTCTCTCCTGAGAGTGGGATGTGCCAACCCAGCGGCCGCTGGCTCACACTAAGCTAGAAGTTCTCATGCCCTCCCCATTGGCTGTCCACCCCCCAGGGCCCCGACAGAGTTGACTCCCAGCTGCTCAGCAGCAGGTGCCAGAATAGAGGTCCCCGGTCCCTCCCAGCCTTTTCCTCCAAAGGTCTTCCATTTGGGAATCCCATTACGGGTCTCCGTATACATAACCTGGCTAGAAATGAGGAAGTTTCTCCCAGGAATATGTATAAACGTAATCGTAACCAAAACCCCAGCTCACTGAGATTTCACACCACGTAAGGTGCTTTTTATACATTACCTTAATTTGTCCTTACAACAGTCCTATTTGGGAACAACCTGGGTTGGGTGGGGTGGGTATCAAGCTCTGATTCTTTCTCCTCTGGGCAGAGGAGGATTCTCCCCACACCCCTCAGCTCAGCCCCCTTCCTTAGCACTCGTTCCTCCACACCCATTAACCAACTACCAATGAACACCTCAGCATCAGCATTTTGCATGGCCGCTGCTGTCCTTCTGCAGGCCCCCTCCCCTGCACCCCTAGTAACTGTAGGCCAGGACCCTTCTCTGTGCTCCAGGTCCTCAAAAACTGGGTCGAAGGCCCGTTCCTCTGACCACTTGTACAGCTTAGAGAGTACACAGCCTACCTCTTGGCCAGGGGCGTTTCCAGTTTCCCCCTGATCCTGCCCATCTCCTGAGGCTTTTACCCAGAGCAAGGTCCCACCCCAACAACCTCACCCACCCACAGGCAGTGGAGGGAGTGACCAAGGGCAGCCAGGCCACTCAAACCCAGCAGGCCACAGCCCCGGCTTTATATCATACAACAGTCCCGCAGACAAACCATGGTGAAATCAAAAGTCAGGTTGGACTAAGGGATGTCTGGGTCTCGTCTTCCAAGGACTCAGGAAGGGGCTTCCATGACATTAGTTCATCAGCCCTGCAGCCCCCTTCACACAGTCCCCTCCACCCCAGAGACAACTCCTATACTCTGACAGGGATAGGTCTAAGGTGCTCCTTGGCTTTAGGACAGAGCTGACCCTCCCTTGTCCCACTCTGCTCACCCTCTACTCTGACAGGGATAGGTCTAAGGTGCTCCTTGGCTTTAGGACAGAGCTGACCCTCCCTTGTCCCACTCTGCTCACCCTCTACCGAGTTCCCTAACTCTCTGCTTCTTTACGTAGGACCCTTTCACCCCCACCAGATGAGGACTTACCAGCCCAGCCCAGGCTGCAGAGTATGGCCACGATCAGGGGCACACAGGCCCTCATGGTGCCCAGTTGGAAGCCAAAAGGGGATTGGCTGTTGGACTTTCACTAGAGTCAAGGTGAATGTCACAGCTCTCAAATGAGCCTTATTGCCCAGGATGATCCTTTTAAAGACATCAGAACTTGTGGATCTGGTACCTCCAGATCCTTCCAGGAAGAAAAAGGGGAGGGAGGGAGCCTAGATGGATAGGACGTGGAGAGGGGGTGGGGCCCTCCAGCTGTTTGAAGCCGGGTGGAAGGCGACTAAGCAGGCAGGTAATTCCAGATGTTTGGAACAGGTAATACTAGCTGTAGCCAGAAAATAGGTCATGTAAGTAGGCACAGCAAGATAGGCCTGGTTTGGGGGGTTCTCTGTCCCAAGTGGGAGCACCAATGGGCTTGTCTCTGGGTGATGCCCTCCAAACACCCACCTACCAGCAAACCACTGTTCTGACCTTCCAAGGAGCTACAGGCTGGCTCCATCTTTGAGTTCCTGGTGCTAATATGAGGGACACAGTAAAGTGATCATTCCAGATTTGACCAGCAGTGAAGTGCTCAAGCAAGTGTTAGGGTCAGTGCAAGGAGAGATATAGGAGGTGTGGGTCAGAAACAAGGGCTGCTCTTATGAGCATCAAACCACACATAGCTAAAGCGCCCCAGAAATAGTATGCAAGTAGTCTCTAACTTACTGAGTCAGCGTCTCAGCTTTTCATGGTTCAGGTTCTCACAGGTTCCAGCTTTACGAGGTCAGCGGTGGGCGAGAGGCCTTAGAGACAGCCAGAGGACATACCCTTGCTCATCTGGGGGCCCAGAAGCCCACTCCCTTCATCCCCTACTTACACTCGTCTTCCCGAGGACCCTCCCCAGGGAGGTGAGGCTTCTTGGCACTCCTTCCTCCCCAGGTCCGAGAGCAGAAGTGCAGCAACGTGGAGCTGCCAAGTTCCCCCTCCTATTAAAGGTAAAATCTGCTAAGTTAATTGCCCTTTCCAGAAAGAGTGCTGCATGGAGATTCTGCCCCCTCAATAAAAGAAAACTCCCATATAAAAAGGCAAAATTGATGAACCGTTGAGACCACTCCATAGTGATTTTTTTCCAGGGGTGAAGTAGGGGGGCCTGTCCTCCTCAGCCGGTGTGCTTGAAGTGTGGGATGCTTCCTCTCTCTGACCTCAGTTTCCTCATCTCCAAAATTACGGGCTTGAACCTGACAATCCCTGCCAAGTTCATTCCGGGGCTTCCCGCCAAGCCCAGGGTGAGCCGCCACGGTGGGTTGGGAAGAATGCCCCTGCCTCGCTATGCAGAAATGAGACCCCACGTAGGGCTCCGGAGTGCCCAGGACAGCCTCGAGGAAGCCACCTTGCAAGAGACTCACGGCAGAAGCACAGCCGCAGCGTCAGCCTGGCCCTTCCGCGGAGGAGGAAGGCTGGTTGAAGGAGTAGGAGCAGAAAGGCTGCTTGGCCTGCCCCAGTGGCCAAGTCCAAGCGGAGAGCGGGCTGCGACCACGGCCAGAGGGAGCCCGCAGCCTCTGGGGGGCTGGTGGCCCATGCCCGGATCTCGGACTCTGGTTAGCTTAGGGGCTAAAGGAGACGGTCCCTGGCTGGGCCAGGAGAACAACGCCTCAGAATTTGGGGTGGACGGTGCCTTCCAAAGGCCCTGCTGGGGGGACCCCACTGAGGCCGAAGGTGTGGAGTCCGTCTGGCCGGGTTGACCCTACTGTCTGGCTGAGCAGCCTGTGGGGTGGAGCTTCTGGGCAGGAGCGCCTCCCTCCGTCGGGGGAATTTTAGGTCAGGAGCAAGGCTGGATGCTGGGGGACGGTTGACACTTACCCCATAGAGCCAGAGGGCACATCTGAGGATCCAGGTCTTTCTGACTGTGTCCTCCAACAAGAACCACAATGCCAACTTTAAGGACAACCACCAACACTGACTGAGCATGTGCTGGGGTGTCACACGCCAAGAACCTCCTATGCATTCTCTCCTTCACTCCCACTACAACCCTTAATAGTACTATTGTTATCCTCATTCACAGAGGAGGAAACTGAGGCACAGAAAGGTTGGCAGGCACACCCAGGGGCACATCAGTAAGTTATGCGGCAGGACTTCCAACCAGACGCTGTCCTGATGGGCACTGATGCCACGTTGTCCCACAGAATTCACCAACAACCACTTAATCACGTCTGGGTTACCAGGCAAAGTGGTCTGCGCTCAGATTCCGTTGGAATTAAAGGGACCTCAGCGGTCACCTGGCTCCACTTCTCATATGAAATTGTAAGCCCGGCCCGATCCTAGGAGGCTGTCCTGCCTCCACTTGAATGCCTCCATGCCTCTCAGAGCTGCTCATCCCCACTTCCCAGATCTGATTCCCAAAGCCCAGGACTGCATAACCCAAGATGTGCTGACATGGAGGAAAGTAGATAGGACAGTAGGAAACAATCCAGCGAGCCAACGTGTGAACACACCTCGGTACACTCCTGCAAAGATGCCTCATAGATAAATTAGCTGCACATAGGCGTTTATAGAGGTAAATGCAGGCTGGCCTGGTCTGGACAGAAAACTCTGCTGCTCCTCTTTCCAAGTTTTCCCCCAGTTAGGTTTTCACATGGACTTTCCACCCTTGATTAAAAGCTGTTCCCAGGGAGCCAGCCAGCAAGGTAGGAGTCCCAGGAGGCTGAGTCCTGGAGACTTGGGGCTGGGAGGGGGTGGTGACAGGTGCATGGCAGATGGCATTCCCATGACGAGAACACCAAACAGAGATGCCTCCTCTGATCAGGAAGTGAGGACAGGGTGCAGCTGTGGAGGGTGAGGGCACTTGGGCAAGGATCCAGGAGGCAGTCAGGCCATGAGCAGTGTGGAGAATGGGAATTCTGTGAGCAAATATTTACTAGTAAGCCTGGTGCTCTGCTGTTATTGGACTGGCAGGATTCAGGCCAGGCTGGAAAAGAGTTCTTAGAACCTATTGGTGTCTCGTGGGACAGAGGACAGAGAAGCCTCAGCATTAGACGGCTGTTTGAAGTAGATCCCATATATCTCTGAGCTACCAGGGTGGTGGGGGGTCTGTCAGGACCCACAGGCTCTGGGAGAGACTGGCCCAGGGGACATATGCCGAGGCCAGCCTACCCACTAGCCTCGTCCTCTGTGAAACCAAGGCTGAGTCACTTCAGCACCAGACCAGAACTGGACGGGCTCAGCACAGGGGAGGCCTAGAGTCCCCTCCTAAGGGGGACTGAAGATGCTAGACCTCCAGGCTCCGGCCCACCGTGGCCCGGAATTGCCCCAGGATAGAGACCCGGGACAGTCGCCCACAACTAGTCACTTGTGACCCACCTCAGTCTGCGGATCCCTCTTGCTGAACGTGTTTCAGAATGGCTCCACCAGTGGTTTTCTTTCACATTGGTTTGTATGTTGTGTTCCACAGTTGGGTTTCCAGGCATTTCTTTTTATGTTTGTGGGCAGCCCTGATATTCAACGTTGCACTCACCCCCCACCCTGTGGATGCACGAGTCACGCGCGCCACCAAGGCCACTCACCAAAATCCCGGGCTGCGCTTCTGGTTCTGCTGGCCAAACCCCAGGCTGGTCCTCTGCCTGCAATGCCCTCCCCTGAACTGTCCATCTCTGACTCACCTCCAGGCCCAGGGCAAACCCACCCTTCCAAGAAGCCTGACTTCAGCCCTCCAGCCAGAGGCATCGCTCCTGCCTATGGACTCAGTTCTTGATATTTGTCCTGGGCGCCTTTGACATATCACGGCACTTCTGGTGTGTGTTTGCCAACGTGGTGTCGGTTAACCCCTGCACTGCCATTTAATTTTTCATCCATACAGGCTGTTTCTTCACCCCTGCTTCCTGGGTCCCCTCTACTGTCTTGTATTGTCATTAAAGGTGTTAAATAACCGTCAACATGTAAAGGGACCAAGAATGAATGAATGAGCAAACTGAGCCTTCCAGCCCCGCTCGTTATAAAGGCTCGAGGGAAGATGACGAGCCAAACAGAGAGAGCAGACGGGCCCTCTTTGAGATTCGGAGGCTTCCGAGGGGGGCTTATGGGCAGTGGGTGGAAACGGGGTCTAGGCATTCATTGTGTAGTTACGCTTTCGTAGCGAACACACCGTCTGTGGCAACATTGCAGGTTTGTTTGGAACTAACGGAAATGTGGGGGCATCTAAGCCCCCCAAGGCACCCCCTTGGCACCACACTGCCAGAGGCAGCCAAGGCAGGGATCAGACAGGACCCAGGATTCCAGCAGCTTCTGAATCCACAATGTAACAGATAACTCAACCTAATCCCACCTTTTAGGATCCCAAAGTAACCACCTGCCTAGATTTTTTTGCCAGCTCTGCTAATGTTTGGTTTACACTGCCTAATAGAGTTTATAAAGTAAAATTTCTGTCTCATGTCCTCAAGCCCCAGTAGTTTCAGGGAGGGTCTGGACGCACAGCCGGGAACAAAGGGAAGCGGATGAGACAGGCAGCCAGAGATAAGGAGCTTCAGAGAGACAGCAAGGGAGTGAGCAAGGGCAAGGTCAGGAGGGGTTGGGGAGCAGCCAAGCAGGAGCCGGGCCGGGCACCAGGCACCTCGCCACCTCTTGGCCCCGGAGTGTCGGCACAGGCTCTGTCCCCCCAAAGACGACAGAGGAACTGGCAGGAGCGCTTCCTACCCAGGGTGTGGAGATCTACCATCTTTCAAAACTCTCCTAATTGGTGTCTAAGGTAGCTGTGTCACGGCCAATCTCCCCCTTTCTCAGCATTTGTTCATCTGCCTGACTGCTAAGCAAAATGGATGCGAGGACGAGGAGCTCAGCCTCCAAAGGCGGAGGGAAACGATGGGCAGAGCACATTGAAAGCTGTGCTTGGGGGAGCAGAACCCAGTGCTGAGCCTACTGGTTCTAGAGCCAAGCTGCCTGGGTTCGAATCCCAATTCGGCCCCTCACCAGCTATACAACCCTGGGCAGGTTTCCTGACCTCTCTGTGCCTCAGTTTCCCCCCAGAGCTGTAAAAATAGAGCAAGTAAGAGTACCTGACAAGGCTCTTGGGCAGATTGAATGAGTTAATACCCACAAAGCTCTTAGAACAGTGCCTGGCACATAACAAGACCAGAATAGTGTGTGTTTAAAAAAAAAAAACAGGGCCAGCCAAGGCAATCTTGAGAAAGACCAAAGCCGGAGGTACCACACTTCCAGATTTCAAGATATACTACAAAGCTGTGGTAACCAAAACAGTATGGTCCTGGCACAAAAACAGACACATAGATCAATGGAACAGAAGAGAGAGCCCAGAAATCTATGACAAAGAAGGCAAGAGTATACAATGGGGAAAAGTCTCTTCAATAAATGGTATTGGGAAAAACTAGACACCTACATGCAAAAGAATGAAACTGGACCACTTTCTAACACCAAACACAAAAATAAGTTCATAATGGATTAAGGACCTAAATGTGAGACCTGAAACCACAAAATTCTTAGAAGAAAACATAGGCAGTAATCTCTTTGACATCAGCCATAGGAACACTTTTCCAGATATTTTTCTTTTGGCAAGGGATACAAAAGCAAAATTAAACTGTTGGGACCAAACCAAAATAAAAAGTTTTGCACAGCAAAGGAGACCACTGGAGAAGATATTTGCAAATGATATGTCTGATAAAGGGTTAATATCCAAACTATATAAAGAACTTCTACAACTCGACACCATAAAAACAAATAATCCAATTAAAAAATGGGCAGAGCCTGACTAGACATATTTCCAAGGAAGACATAAGAATGGCCAACAGACACATGAAAAGATGCTCAGCATCACTCATCATCAGGGAAATGCATATTGAAACCACAGTGAGGGGCGCCTGTTTGGCTATCAGTTGAGCATCTGCCTTCGGCTCAGGTCATGATCCCAGGGTCCTGGGATCGAGCCCCGCATCGGGCTCCCTGCTCGGCCAGAAGCCTGCTTCTCCCTCTCCCACTCCCCCTGCTTGTGTTCCCTCTCTTGCTGTCTCTCTCTCTGTCAAATAAATAAATAAAATCTTAAAAAAAAAAAAAAAGAAAAAGAAACCGTAGTGAGATATCACCTCACACCTGTCAGAATGGCTAGACTCAAAATGACAAGAAATAACAAGTGTTGGTGAAGATTGTGGAGAAAAAGGAACCTTAATACACTGTTGGTAGGAATGCAGTCTGGTGCAGCCACTATGGAAAACTGCATGGAGGGTCTTCATAATTTTTAAAATAGAATTACCACATGCTCTAGTAACTCCACTACTGGGTTCCTACCCAAAGAAAACAAAAACTAACTCAAAAAGATATATTTTACCCCTGTGCTTATTGCAACATTATTTGTAATAGTCAACATATGGAAGCAAGTGTCCGTCGATAGATGAATGGATAAAGAAAGAAGAAGCACTATATATGTATAGTTATATATATATGTTTCAAGTTATATATATATATATATATATCAGGCTGTTACTCAGCCACAAAAAAGGAATGCAATCTTGCCATTTGCAACAACATGGATGGATCTAGAGGGTATAATGCTAAGTGAAATAAGTCAGACAGAGAAAGACAAATACCATATGATTTCACTCATGTGTGGAATTTAAGAAACAAAACAAATGGACAAAGAAAAAAGAGACAAACAAAAAAACAGACTCTTAAATACAGAGAACAAACTGATGGTTACCAGAGGGGAGGTGGGTGGGGGAAAGGGGGGGATGGGGGATGGGGATTAAAGAGTACACTTACTGTGATGAGCACTGAGTAATGTATAGGATTGCTGAATCATTGAAACTAATAGAACACTGTGCACTTGAAACTAATATAACACTGTACATTAATTATACTTCAATTAAAAAAGAAGCAGAGCCACAAAAGACCTAATTTGGATAAGATGGTTAGGGAAACCTCTATGAAAAAAATGACATTTAAGACAGACATGAAGCATGAGAAAGTGGCAGTTTCTCTAAACTCTTCATAATGTGATTCCTTTTTATAATTCCAAAACCAAATTTTATTTTAAGACTATGATGTGCTTTTGAGTATGTTCAAGCATTTCACTTTTGAGTATTTCCCAGTTTGGGGGGATGACTCTCAGTAGGTCACACTGTCTAGCTCACATGGTTTGGTTGCCAAAGGGGACCACTTATTTTCTGGGGGCGGGGCCACAGCCTAGAGGACTAAGCTTGATCTGGGGAGAGCTAGGAGCTTCAATGGGGAACAAAACTCCCCTAGCGCATTGCCTCGGGCTCTTCCTCTCCTATTTCTGGCCATTGGGATGAGGATCCTGACCATTAGCCCATTAGAATCTTCCAAGTTACGTATCTACATAACAGGGGCCTCATACAGACAACTAGAATTCAGGGAGGCTGCAGGTGGTAATATTTAGGGGTAGGGGACTCTCTGAAAATCCTTCTAATAAAATGGCTTGCAGCTGACATCCCTCCCTCGGGCGGTCCTGGCCAGGGGCCACCCCTGGGAAAATGCTCAGAGAGTCTGCAGCTTTATGACCAAGAGAGGTCGGTGCCCCCTCATCTCTTTGGTTGACTTGAGAGGCCTACACCAAGACACTGAGAGTGGGAAAACATCCCAAACCCTTCTAGTCAAAATCCCTGTTTATAAATAAGGAAACCAAGAGAGAGGAAGACGCCTGCCCGAGGCTGAGGCCACGTGGCTGCTGAGGCCCAGGCTCCTCTGGCTCCCCACACTGCCCCTCGCAGAGGCCCCCCTGATGCACACCTGAACGCCTCCAGCTCTGAGTGACAAGGCGCTTTTCTGGGAGGCAGGTTTAGCTGAAAATGCCTTGCCCTCATGACCCCACCTCATGACTCTCCACCCCTCTGCTGGCTACAGTCCCCGCAGCGCCAGGAAAGCCTGCGTTCTCCTCCGCTCAGCAACCCAGAGACGGCTCTGGCTGCCCACAACTCACACCCCAGTAAGAAACCTGAGACCCTGAGTTCTCCCCAAGGGCCAAGAACATGTGGGGCAGAGTCAGACGAGGTCCTAAGGGTAGGGCTCCTTCACCCAGGGTCCATGCGGGTCAAAGTCTAAACAGACTCGAGAACTTGAATCCCACACTTTCCCATAAAAAGTGGATCTGGGCTCTGAGCCCAGCCTTCCTCTTCCTCTGGGAGTCCCTGGGCCAATCTTGCCATTTGCAACAACCGTTGCACCGTTCCACCTACCACCAGCAGCAGCCCTGCTGGCCCCAGCAAGGCCCCCTGCTCCAGGAAGGCCCCAGGCATGACCAAGAAGATGCTCTCAAAGCACAGCTGAGTCAGACTCATCTTCTCAGAGGATCTGCTTTCATCATCACTGGGAGGTACAATAGTCGCTCATCACGGAGTCTGTAAGCCCCTTCATCCTCAGGTGCCCTGCCCAGCCCGGCTGCAGGAGGGCGAGGCTTGGGGCTTGGAGAGTCCAGAATCTCAGACAGGGGTGCCTGGATTGACTGGGGCATCGGAGCAGGGCAACTGGAGGCTCTGGGGCCTTGGGTCAGGCCCAGGGCCCCGGCAGCTGTGTGAGAAGCCTAGCACTCCTGTATGCGGCAGGGTACAAGGATACATTTTGGAAATGCGTTTACATTCTGGCCTATCAGTCCATGGAAAGGAAGGAGGAGCCAACTGCCGGGTCAGAGTCTGCCCCAGCCACCAGGCACCAGCCGCCAGCCATGCTAGCTGTCTGATCCTCAGGATCCTCGGGGGCTTGTACCCGTGCTAAGTGGAGAGCAGCCCCAACGCCAGGAGGCAGAGCGATGCCTAAATGCTTGGGGGTGAGCAGTGAGACCCCGCGGCCCTGGGCATCCACTCCTCCCTGGACTTGCGCTCTGCGGCACCCTCTCCGTCTAACAGCCTTGCTCCGGGTCTGTCTGCGGGGTGGGTGCTCTGCAGGACCACCCTCGGCAGGACCACCTCTCTCATTCACAGAGCCCCTACTACATAAGATTTCAAGAATGAAGTGAGGGAGGGAGGGATGTACATGCCTGGGCCTATTCCTCTAAGAGAAGAAAATGCTGGGGTTCAGGGAGATTGCACCCTTGCCAGGGGCACAAGGCAAGGGCAGGGGTGAGCAAAGTTCCATGGTTCGGGTCCAGCGGATACACACCCAGGCTCCTCATCAGTCCACCTGCTTATTAGCCAGCTATGTGACCTCAGGCAAATCATTTTGTGCCTCAGTCTGACTGTAAAATGGGGGTAAAAGGATGTGCCCTACTCTCAGTATAAATAATAGAGGTTAAAGAATACTGGAAAAGATGAAAACTAGTCACATCTAAGTCTATCAGCATGATAAATACTATGAATAACAGCAATATTAAAAAGATTAATCTTTGCAGCTTGGGAAGCTTAGCAGCCAGAGGCCCAGGGCTCGTGGAGAGAGAGGGGGGCTGGCTCCCAGGGAGAACAGCTGAGGCAGCCAGGGGTCAGACAGTCAGGCTCCCAGACTGCCCTACCCTTTCACGGGATCCTGCTCAGCCTGCTGGAGAGGCGTGACCCTGCTCAGCCTGCTGGAGAGGCGTGTACCCCACAATTAGCGTCCTGGACTTCCCGGGGAAGCCAAGGAGAAGGGGTAAGGGAGTAGTGGGTATATGTGTGTATCTGAGAGGAGGAATTATCTGCTCCATTCTGTTCTCCCTCATGGGGCACAGGTGCGCGCGCACACACACACACACACACACACACTTTCTTCCCTGCTTTACCTCCTTTTAGGTAAGAGATTTTTTTAAGGCCTCTTATACTTCCTTCTCTCAGCAGTCCCATGAGTTCTTTCTCCCATCATGGCTGTCCTGAAGCTGGGACACTAACTGGGAGTCCCCTACATGCAGCCCGGGTTGCTAGGACATGACACGGGAAGATGCCTCCCACCTACCCCATGCCTCGGCAGTCAGGGAGACAAAAGATGACGTGGCCCTCAGAGCAAGAAGCCACCATGACCTAGAGCCTTTCCCTCCTCCATGGTGACCCAGCCCAGTCAGCAGCATCTCCAGCACCCAGTCTGCGTCCTCCTGCCCATCCTGGGCACTGTTTTCCTGGCCAAGCCTCTCTCAACAGGCTCAAAAGGTGTACCCCAGAGATTAAGGGAGCTGGGAAGTTGCAGGGCAGTCCAGGGCAGAAGGGAGATTTGTATGCTGCCAAAGTTCCTTCAGGACATAGGTGTGGCCACAGAGAAGAAAAATGGAAATGCTGATGGAGGACACTGGCCCTGACCACGCTTGGCTTCCATTCTGTTGTTGGAAGGCTTGTCTCACTCTGGAGTCTGAAAGGATGGTGAAGGGCTGTGGCCGGCAGGCTGGTCTGGCCTTGGCCAAAACCCCATCAGACAATGGGTTTAGGATGGAAGAGAGCCCCTGGGAGTCCTGACTCACCAAGACTTGGGCCTCATGTCATGATTGCTCAGCTCTGGAAGCTTCTGTGCCCCGTGGGCCTGCATCTCCACCCACAGGCAAAGGAACCGGCTTGGTTACCCTGTCGTCTGCTCTACCCAGGCTCTCCCTGGAGGAGTGGGCTCTGCCCAACTTCACTCAAGGCGTTGCTGCCCACCCACGGCGTCAGGCCGAGGACAGTGGACTGCCAAGGCTGTCTCTGTGGCTCTGGAGGCAGAACTACAGTTTGACTTGTTTGTCACTAAGGGCTGAACTGAGATCATCATACCCATTTTACAGATGGAGAAATGGAGGCAGGGAACTGTCCCTTAACTTGCTGGGATTCTCCCAGAAACCTGAGGTATAATCCCAGCTGTGCTGCTTCCTGCAAAAGGTTCTAACCCTCTCCAGAAGCAGTTTGTATGTGTGTCCCTGACCACAGGGATAAGAGGTCTGGCAGGGCAGGGGTGAGGGGAGGTGGACTTGAGCCAGTACGGGACCACACCAGCTGCCTCCTCAGCCTCCAGGTATGGGCCCTGCCACTCAACGCCTACTCTGGGGTCATCCCCAAGGCCAAGAGGTCCCTCTCCAGGCCAGACAGTGTACCTCCCCCTACCAGGTTCAGGGCCATAGGAAGCCGAGAGAGGAGGGAGCCCCCTGCGTGGGAGGGGAGTGCTGAAGGGGCGGGGGAGGGAGGACAGAACGCTGACAGAGCTGGCCGGCACCAGTCTCAAGAAAGTGGATTTCCTGGGAGCCTGCCAGGCCTCAGAAAGGGATGGGCTCCCCTCAGAAGCCTCTGCCTCAGTGTTCTTTCTATTACTGGCCACTTGTCCTCGGAGGCCTCGGTTCCTGAGAGGACCACCCACCAGGCTGAGGCGTGCTGCAGCCAGGCGGGGGTGGGTGGAAGGAGCTAGTTGCAGCTGGCTGGAACAGTGCTCTCAGACCACAGCGGGCAGCCGGGGGTGACCCCCACTGGCCACTGACAGGGGCTCCAGACTCCGGCAGCTGCCGAGGCCAGGGGTGTAGGTCTGGACGGCAGTGACAGCTGTCTTAGTGCTCCGCCTGGGACCCAGAGACCCCGTGCAGCAGTGGGACTGCTTGTCAGCCTCCCTGCGTCCACCCTCGACACAACACCCCCTCCCCAGCTCTTGGGGTTGGGACGGTCTCGGCCTTCACTGACACACCCCAACAGGGCTGGCCTCGGAACACAGCATCCCTGGTCACTGATGTTCATGGAAGGGCTCCTCAGGGACCAGCCCTCCGCCTCACACAGCCGCGGCCACACCGACTGTTCATCACCTGTTCCCGTGCTCGGGGAAGAGAAGCCCCACTGCTCCTCCCCACCCCCACCCCCACCCCCGCCCCAGGCCGCCAGCCCTGCCCCGGCCACACACCCGCCACATGGATGTGACCTGCTCCCTCTGTCCACTGTGAAACCGCCTGGAGATGGCCGGACAACAAAGCCACAGAGGCACAGAGCCTGGGGGAAAAACCTGGTGTGGAGAGCTCTCTATTGAACACAGAGTCCCAGCGCCTGCCCTGCTCTCCCGCCCGCTCCAGGGCCTCTCTGTCCCCCATTCCTTGGCCTTGGGCCCCGGCTCATTCCACTCGAGGTCCTCCTCGGGCGCCCGTCATCACGGGAGACGGCCGCCGCCACGCTGCCCGCTCCAGGGCCGCGAGTCCAGTCCGCGGAGAGCCCTGCCCAGCTGCGGCCGGCCTGGGGGCCTCTTGGCCCGGGCTGCCCTGGCTTTCCTGCCCGGAAGTGCCTGCTCCAGCCCCAGCCGCCTCATGGCTCCAGCTCCCGGGAGAGGCGGGAGAGCTCCCGCTGGTTGTTGATGACCTTCAGCTGCTGGACATAAGCCCAGGTGCTGGCCGGACTGCGGGTGCCCAGGGACTGCTCGGAGCCTGCGGGGGAGGGGGGGCAGGACAGGGGTCAGGGGGGGCACTGCCACTCTGTAGAGCCCATCCCTTCCCCGTCAAGGAGCAAATCAGCCTTGCCGCCCTCCACCCCCTACCCTGCCACTTCCCACAGCCGAGCTAGAAGACTGTCTAGCCCTCCAGTCTGAAGAAGTGTGGTGGAGAGCTCAGACTCTGAAAAACAGGTCCTCGAGATAACATACTGCACAATACCCCTTTTTACTAAATTCAAAAACAACTACAACTCAAGAATTTTGTTGTCATAATACGCGTATGAAGCATTTTAAAGCTGTAGGTGTATGTATATAAGTCCATATAAATATATCTACATCAATATATTATAGCGGCCCAGGAGGAGGGAAGAGTGCGTGGGGAGAGGAGGCTCTTGTCAATGTGCCCCTACTTGGCTTGGGTCCAGCGGTGTTCGGTAGATTATCACCATCGGTACATACGTAAAACAAAGGGCCAATGGTGACAGCGTCGGCTGAAGCGTGGACTACGATTAATCCGCTTCATGCGACTGAAGGCCAATTAAACAAAATCAGGTCTGGAGTAAGAGTGCCTGGGTCCCAGCTCTGTCATCTGTCCCAGCCTTCCACAGTTACTTCAGGGCTCAAGCCTGCTTGTGTGTCTTTAAGCTGGGAGAACATTCTAGCTTCCTCAGAGAGGTGTCGTGAAGAGGCCATAGCATCCTGTATGCAGGTGGCGGAAAACGCCAGCCGTGGCTGTGCTGTCGGCCCCCAGCCCTGCCCGACTTACACGTGGATGTCCTCGCGGCCTGGCTGTCCTCGTGGAGGTGGGATACGCGGCTTCTGAGCGGCGACAGCGGCACTGGGCGGGGCGAGAGGCGGGAGTCAGAGCCTGGAAGGGGAGGGGTGGGGGGGCTTCTGGGGGGGCGGGGGGGCCTCTCACCGTTGCTGTGGCTTCGGCAGCGGTGCAGCATCCGGACAGCTCTGGCCAGCATTCTCTGTGGGCAAAGTAAGGACAGAAGAGCAGGCCTGAGGGGCAGGACCCTGGCGTGGCCCGTGGGGCAGCTGGGAAGCAAGCCCCCTTGGAGTGGGGGCGCTCCTAGGGACTAGACGGGGCCGTGTCTGCTTTGCCCCACACGCCCAGGGGGGACCAGGTGGCGGGAGAAAGAACAGAGATCAGGGAGGGCTTAGGGCTCAGCCTGCCGGGTGAGATAATGAAGGCTGTCTTCCCCAGCACGCAAGGGAGTGACTACTTTAAAAGAAGTATTCATATTTGTATTATTAATAACAACTTTCGGTCATCTCCCGCCCCCACTCGCTTGCAAGGACACAGTCATATCTCTAACCCACTCTAGGGGCAGACGCCCACTCTCCTTGAACTCACCATCTTCTCAAAGTTGATGAGATTCTCTACCAGTGTGTGGTTTCCTTCATGGATGAAGGTCATGTCTGCAGAGAGATGGGTTTTGGTTTTTTTTTTTAAAGATTTTATTTATTTATTTGACAGAGAGAGACACAGCGAGAGAGGGAACACAAGCAGGGGGAGTGGGAGAGGGAGAAGCAGGCTCCCTGCAGAGCAGGGAGCCCCATGTGGGACTCGATCCCAGGACCCTGGGATCATGACCTGAGCCGAAGGCAGTCACTTAACCAACTGAGCCACCCAGGCGCCCAGAGAGATGGGTTTTGCTTAAAGGTCCCCAAACTCCTTCCCTTCCTGCAGCCCAGGAAAGGCGAAGGGCCAATAATGGGAGCCTTGGGCCTGTCCCAGCCCCACACTACCCTCTTCCTCTGGCTCCCCTCTGACCTCCCAGAGCAATTTCCTTCTATCTCTTAGGCCTCATATCAGAGGCCATCTGATATCACCAGCACTTGCGTCAACACTGCTTCTAGCCTGTGAACTCAAAATTCATCTTTGTGTCCCCCAAGGCATTGGCACCCCAAGGGTCAGATGGACATACGGACAGACGCAGGAACGGATGGGTGGAGGCAGGAAGGTAAGCACTGGTCCAATTACCTTTGAGAAGAAGAGGCATGAAGGGGATGATGGGGGGGGAGAGCTTGGTGAGGAGCAGTCGATAGACTCGGTGGTTCCATGAGGGGTCCTGAGAGGGAAGAAGCCTCAGTGAGGGAGGGACATGACCCACCACGCACCACGACACAACCAAACACCATCTGCTCGGAGCTCAGCTTCCTCTGGGCCCCAGGTCTCCCTGAGGCGGGCTCTGCAGCAGGCGGGAGGGGACCTGAAGCACGGCCAGACCGGCCATCTGCGCATACGGCTTCCTGGCCTCTGGTTAACCCCCCAAGCACACTTCAGGGGCCCTGAGGTTTCATAGAAACCACTCCCCCCCCTTCTGTCTCTGTCCCTGTTCTTGTTTCTGTCTGTTTTTCCCTTTCTAGTAGGTAAATTCCTTTGAACCTCTTGAGCCCACAAGGTAGATTTTTTTCTCAAGAGCTCAGAGCCAGGCTGATAAAAACACCTTTGTGTGAGTTCTCTCCTGAACACTCTCAAAACCTCTTAACCAACCCCCCCCCCAACAATTCCTGGCAGGGGGTGGGAGGGGAAGCCAGCTCCTCAGCTTTTCCCTCATCTGTGGCCTCCTCTAGCGTCCTCCAGCATCTCCTGAGGGGCCCACTGACAGGCCCTGGCACACTGTGGGCCTGGCGCCAGGACTTGCTTCCTGGACCTGAGGCAGGTCAGCTGGAGACCCATGTTCCCCGGGTGTTCGCCTGGTGCTTCGGAGCCCAAGGCCAGACACCACATGTGCCCTGTCCTGGTCTTCACACAGGACGTCACAGCCACAGCCAAGGCTCCCCCACCCCCACCCCCACCATACGGCATATAACACGCTGGGCACCCCCCTCATACCGCTAACACTCCACGCCTCACCAGCTCCCCAAACGTACAGCCCAGAGGGAATCCCACTCTGGCCCAGGGCTGGAAACCCTGGAAGTGGCCGGAGACAGGTAGAGAGGCTGCCGGGAAGCCCAGAATCGGGGTTTCTGGAAGGAGGAGCAAGGCCCAGCACTCACCAGCAACCTCTCGAGGGCCGAGTACAGCTTCCGGACTTTGTGGGGCAGCCGCTGTGAAGCAGAGGCAGATGGAGCTCTCACTGCTCTGGGATGGGAGCCCCATCCCCAACCAGCACTCCCAGCATGGGCACGGGCCGTCCAGATCACACCTACCTCCCACGTGTGGGCCAGGCGGCTGATGGCCGAGTTGCTGAGGCCAAACATGATGGCAAAGAAGGAATTGAGATTTTTTTGCTCCTTGAGGCTATGAGTGGAAGACCCAGAGGATCTCAGGGGAAACAGCCACACCCTCAGAGTTCCTACCCAGACAACAGCCGGCCTGGGGCCCAGGATCAGGTCCAGCCAGCGCTGCCTCTGTGGGGGCTGGGCGAGATGGGGTGGGGAGGCAGAGACTCTAGGAGACCCAGGGAAGCAAGGGGAAGGCAGATTTGGCAACATACTGACCAGGGACGGGGACATGAGATAGGCGGCCTCGGGACTCTGCCACACACCCACCCAGCCCATAGGCACTCACTGGGCAGCCAGCTTGATGAACTTCCTGAGCAGCTGGGCCCGCAGGCTCGGCACGGGGCAGAGACACAGCTCCGTGGCCACCCAGTACTGGAGCTCGTTGAAGCGGCGCATGAAACGCTCCAGGTTGGCAGTGGTGACGTCCCGCAGATGCTGGGGCCCCAGCACATAGTGGATCAGCTCCACCTGGGGAGGGGGCAGCAGGAGAGATGAGCCCACATCAGGTGGGGTGTCCCTGCCATCAGCGCTCCTCCCCTCAGCTCTGCTCCCTGCACCTGGTGGATACTGTTGAAGAGGCTCCAGTCGTGGTCCGTCAGCTGGCCCGCCAGGTCCTTGGCACTCACCAGGTCCAGCCCCTCAGCAGAGCCCACAGTGGGCCCCAGCTGCTCGGGGTGTGGGGTCTGTAGGTGCAAGAGAGCTCAGGAGGGGTACCTGAGGAATCCAGGGGGCAGGTGCGGGGTAGGAGGAGAGAGTTTGGGGCAGAGACTCCATGCCCATGGTCCAAGGCACGTCGGGGAGGATAAGGGTGCTACCAGGAGTAGGCCTCTGAAGGGTAAGGCTTCCCAAGGAGTTGTCTATCCTCCTGCCAGCTCCCCAGTGCTGAGACCCTCTCCTTGTAGGGCTCCTGTCTCCTGGGGAACCCCCAATGAGGGGAGGTCTTCTTTCTCCTTGAGAGCTCTCAACCAGCTCTCTCCCTTCCCCAGCATCTGGTACCTTCCATCAGTTGAGGCCCACTCCTTAAGACCCAGCGGCAGTCAGAGCCAGGCCCTCCTCTCTCCTCTCTGTGACTCTCCCCTGCACCCACCTCTGCCACCCCCAAAACACAGCTCCTCCCTGGCCCCCTGCCTGTTCCTACCAGTTCATGCACTTCCTGTGGGTTGACAACAAAGAGCCGCTCGTTGAGCCCCAGGGATGTGGCCACACCGCGGGCCTCTGGCTGCAGGCCAATGGCATCTGCAAAGAGAGCAGAGGCTGGGGGGGAGCGGGGGGCAGTGGTGGGCAGAGAGGGAGGCCAGGGAGCTACGGAGGGCAGGGTCGAGGCCCCAGTCGGGAGGTCCCTTCTCCCAGGAGCCGGGCTGGAGTCCTGGGCAGGTGCACCGAATGCACAGGCGTCTGTGCCCCCCACATCCACACTGCCCAGGTTAGCACGCCGAGGAAGACGAGAAAGGATGGTTAGAGACAATACTCGGGCAACGGCGGAGACTCCCTGAGTCTCCTTCTTTGTCAGATGGAGACAGCAAGACCAACCCCGACTACTCGCAGGTCTAACAAGTTAATTTATGGAAGCAGTGGCAGTAAGTAGACGATGCATGTAACGGCCCTTTGAAAACTGGGAAGTGCCCCACACGGGGCTTAGTGTTGATTTTCATCAGCAACTACCGACCGAGACCGTGTTCTTAGTCATGTGTGAATCCCTACTCTCTAGACCAGTAGCCTCCAAAGCAAGACCATCCTCTGTCCAAAAACTATCAGCTCTTCTATTTATTTTTCTCATCTGTTTTTGCTTGTTTATTTTGTGGGTAGCTTTAGAATTATATAATGTTAGTGTGCGAGTATATGTATATGACTTCCAAGCAAGTATACACATAACAGGGGGCTTGTAGTAGAAATATTGGTTACTGACATGGGAGGTGATCTAAACAATGGGAAGGAAGGTCAGTACTCTCAACAGTTCCTGTCCGGTCGCAGTCTCTGGTCCTGGGGCAGCTGCAACTCTCTGGGTGGCCACCAGAGGGCGGTGCTTCCCAGAGCAGAGGGCAGGACCACGTGACTGCAACCCGTCTCCCCACTTCCTGAAGGAGGAGAAGGGTTTGCTTTTCTGGCCTCCACTCCTTGTCATTATTCCCTGGGTGCCCCTAATTCCTGTCTACCCTAGGCTCCAGCTGTCAGCCCCGGGCTGCGTCCTCCACGGAGAATGAAGAGTGGTTTCTGATGGCCCAAGTTCCCTGAAAGCAGGTCTAAATAATTCTCATGCTGCCATGTTCTGAGCACTAACTTTGTGCAAGCCCCATGCTAAGTGTTTTATATATGTGATCTCTTTTATGGCCACAGCAGTCCTGTGCGATGGGTACAGTGTTAGTGCTCATGCGACCGATGAGGAATCGGAGGCTCAGCAAGGTTAAGCACTCTGCTCAGATCAGGATCACACAGCTCGTCAGCAGTGGGTCCTGGGATCCCAACCCAGGTTAGGGGATCCTGTGGATGCTCTTAACCACCAAGCTTCTTATCTTACCTGCCATGGTGCCTCCAGCTCCTAACACATTGCTGGCCCATAGCTGACTCTCAAACATGTTTGCCAACTGACAAAATGAATGAAGACTACCTAAATTCAAAAGCCAGACACTCTCATTTACTGTATGAACTCGGGACAATTGCCTCATCCCCTTGAGTTTCAGTTTCCCTGAATGAAAATAGGATGAAAGTACCTATCTCATAAGGTGGTTACCAGGACTCAATGAATAGATGAGGATGATAATAATAAAACTAATGTACAAAGTGCTGTGCCAGGCACCGTTCTAAACCCTAAAATAGATACGCCCATTCAATCCTCACAGTTCCTCTGCGAGGTCGGCACTCTTACCAGCCCCACTGAACAGATGCTGAAAAGAGCACAGAGAGATCAAGTCTCCTGCCCAAGGACACACAGACCGGTAGCTAAAGGGCTGGGCTCAACTGCCGACGGCAGGCTCCAGAGCTCATGCTCTCAAGCACTACATGCAAAGCACTTTGGAGAGACATAATAAACCGCCCTTAAATGCTAGCCATCATTAACACTGATGAAGACGATCAAAACGCTGATCTTAATTCGAGGGGTGGGATCTGGGCACAGACTGAGGGGCCCCCTCCCTCGGAGCCACCCCCCCCCCCAGAGACACAACTCACGGCCTGTAGAGTTGACCTTCACCAGCACCTGCCCCTTGGTCCAGCCATCCTCCTGGGCCAAGGCTGCCATCACCTCTCTCACGGAGGCCGTCACCGGCAGCTTCAGGGTCAGCACCGAGTGGTCAGGCCGGCAAATGTCATAGGGGACTGCGGAGGAAGACCACGCCGAGCTGTAGGAAGGGGCTTCTTGGTCCCCCCAGCCAGAAGTGAGCATGCAGCAAGCACAGCAGTGGGAGGGGCCCGAGGAGGCAGGAGGGGTGGTGACGGGAAGCCTGGGTGGACCCGCTGCCCAGAGTGTGGGGGAGGTCGTGAGCTGGGGAGGGAGGGAGGGAGGCGCAGGGGGGGGGGGCACACCCCGTCTGGCAGCCTAGAACAGAGACCCCGAGGAGTCCGTCGTGCCCTCCTCGGCCAAGCATACTAAGGTCAAGGATGACGACCTCAGGCTGCAGCCTCTGCCCTGGCTGGCCCGGACCACCAACCTTTGTCCCCAACTCGAATGGCACAGTTGCTGCTGGGGAGGGGCTGGTCCTGGCCTGGGAGCCAAACAGGCACGTTCCTGGCCTGAGAGGGAGAGAAAGTAAGGCCCCGGAGGCACAGGGGAGAGTGCACAGAGCCACGCAGAGGCCTCTGTCCCTGGGAGCGCGGGGCCCACATGGCGCACACACCACCAGCGGGCTCTGCTTGCTGCGTGGACCTGAGCTGGGCAAGGCGTCAGACACCAAGGCTCCCCGAGGTGAGACAAGCCAGTGCCCCTGTGAGTGCAAGTCACCCCCTTTGCCAAATAGGCCCAGAGCTATCCTAATATGAACACACCTCAGCCGTTGGCCCTGGTTTTGTCTTCCTTTTCCTCCTCTGGCTACCATTTGCTATTGGCCATTTGCTGCGTGCTAGGCTCAGTACAGGCTTATTCTAAGTATCTAAATAGTCACAATAGCCCTTCAGGGCTGACGGGGCAGCCATGCCGGGCGGGCAAAGGCCTCCGTAATACAACTCCTCTGCCCACTCCCAGATCTGAATGGGGCCGATCCTCCGAGTTCAGACCCCAGCCACAGGCCTTCTCTACTCCACGTCTCAGAGCTCTCCCCAGACATCCGCACAGCCTCACATCACCTGCATGCAGAAGTTGCAGCATCGCCCTCTCTTCCAAGCACCTCTGGGATCCTTCCATATCTGGGCTCCATCCCCCCAGACTCAACACCTCCCTCAGACCCCCTCATCCTGCCTCCCAGCTGTTCTGGGCTTGGCTCCCGCCTCTCCCCGCCCCCTGCCCCCCCATTTCCGCAAAGCTTATCACCTTGTTCTGGGGGTTCCTCTGAGCCCCTCCTCCCAGCCCAAGCCAACCCCCAGTTCCACTTGCCCAGTTGTCTCCCCCCCTCATGTGCTACAATGGCCGGACTATTCTCTACTGTCAGTCCTCGGGTGCCTCCAGCTCCCCCCTTCCAGTCTGCCTGACCAGAGCCAGATTAAGCTTCCTAATGCAGCTTTCTGCTGGATAAAGCACGGGGTCCTTAGCTGACCTCCTCAAAACACACATTCAACCTTGTCCACCCACGGCCCCAACATCTCCAAGGAATCGCATTGTTCAGAGGACAAAGCCCAAACCCCTCAACATGGCACACAGGGCTCTACGTGCTGTGGGCCCTGCCTGCCTCCCCAGCCCCCTCTGGCGGCTCCCTCTCACACTCCCTCTGCAGGGTCCCGAACAGGTGGACTCCCTGCCCTGTCGAACCTCACTGTGGGCCTCTTCCCCCCCGACCCTCCCACCCTGTAGCTCTCAGCTCTTGTGGTCACTCTCCCTGATCCTGACCCCGAGTCGGCCCTTCCCTTCCCTGTTTTCAGAGACTCCTGCCTTTGCCATTATGCATCAGGACGCCATGCAGTCTGTCTGCGAGCCCCACAAGGCCCGGGGTGGCTGGCCCCCGCCACTGCAGCATGAGCATCTAGCAGAGTGCCCGGCACATGAGGGCGACTCCATACTAGATCCTGAGCGTCTGCCGCAAGCCACAGGTGCCGGCCCCTCACTCTGGAAGCCAGTACTCTAGCGGGGTGGGGCAGGCACTAACAGGATAAACAAAACAACCCCACAGGGCCTGAGGCTTTGACGACAGTCATAGAAGACACCTTGTCAGGCGAGGGCGGTGAGGGGTGCTCTGGATAGGGAGATGGGAAGGGGGCCTCTCTGAGGACCCAACATTTTGGCTGAGATCAGAAAGATAAGGATTTGAGTGGGCAAAGAGCCAGAGAAAGAAAGTTCCAGGCCCTGAGGTGAAAACAAGCTTTGCCTATAGAAGAGAAGGAGCCTGTGAGAGTCTCTAGCAGGGAGGGGGTGGGGAGGGGACACAGGCCACTGGGCACAGAGAGCCTGGTGTTTATTCCCAGTGCAGCACTCCCCACAACCAGCCCCATCCTACCGTTCCAGCCCTTTCTCCCACCCTTCCTCAAGAAATCTCGGTTCCAGCCACACGTTCTCAGCCCCCTTTGCTCCCCGTGGGCCCCTGCCAGGAATGGTACCAGCCACCTCTGACTCCCAGGAACCCCTGGGCTTCAGAGGCTGCCTTCAGGCACCATCCCCTCACCCCAACCCCTGGGGAACTGCTAACTGGCTCTGCGAACATGGAATACCTCCCAGATGCAATAGAAGCCCCTTGGGGTGAGGTAGGGATGGAGGGGTGACCCTAGACCTCTGTGTCTCCCCACTAGGCCTGGCCCCCACGCCACACCCAGCCCCTGCTCTGTGAACACCTATCCCAGCCCCAGGGGTGTGTCTGTGCATGGGGATCCTTTCCAGGCTGAGCCCCTGGGGTGGGGGCTGAGGGAGGGGCAGAGGGAAGAAGCTGGGGCCAGACAGAGAGGAGAGGAGCTGGTCTGCACAGGCACCTTCATCTGAGGAGATGCATTCCCACAGCCATTTTCCAACCTGGGGAGCAAGGGAGAAGGGCAGTGAGATGCGGTGAGCCAGGGACCCCTTCGGGCAGGACGGGGCAAGGGGTGGAGGGTGGGGGGTCTGGCTCTGGATTCCATCTACCCTCAGCAGAGGCTCAGAGCTTTGCAGACTTGCTAAATACCAGCTAGAGGGGGCAAAGCCAGGGCTCGAAACTCAGCCCCTGCCTTCTGGGATTTCCGCAGGCCAGCAGGGGGGAAGGAAAGAGAGTTCCAGGAAGTAATGTGCCCCAGGTGTCAGGCTGGGCAGGTGAGCTCTCCCTGAACCTCACCTGGCCCCATGGGAATGTCTGGGAAGGCCAAGAGAAGCTCTAGGGGATTCACCAGGCTGGGCCAGCAGGACAGGGCACTGAGGATGCTCGGAGTAAGTATGTGCAGAATGGAGAGAGTGGGAACGGCAGGTGCGCTCGGGAGAAGGACATGTGAATGCCTGTGTGGCGCAAGACAGTGCGTGAGCGTGGCGCGAGGGGGAACAGCAAGGGGACTGGTAAGAACAGGACTAGACAAATGAGCAGCCACAGCCAACACTCGCATAGCTCACAGCGCCTGCAAGGCATGGCTCTGTGCTCAGAAGGCGCCGTGACACCCCATGCTCGCGAGATGGGTGCTCTCCTGGTGCTGGGGACGAGAGCCCGGAGCCCGGGGGGCGGGGGGGGGGCGTGCCCAGAGCAGCATGGCCATAGGCGGTGCAGCCTGGATTTCCAGCACGTGTTTGTGTTGGTGTCCAGCGTGGGTGCGGTGTTCTCCGTCCCCAGTGCACCACCCGCCACGCATGTGACAAGTGAACGTGGAGCCCAAGCATCACCTGTGGTGCCGCCGCCTCTCCGGCCACTGCTCCCGCAGCAGGAGGCAAAGCCGGGCGTCTCTGCTCACCAGGTCTGAGAGTTTCTGGGAGGAGCCAAGATTCATTGACCCAGAGGTAGCTGCACCCCTCCCGGCAGCCCGGTCCAGCCCTGCCTCACTCCCAGGTACCTGGAGAAAGCTGGTGGCCACAGGGTCCAGGTGGAGCATGGGGCCATAGAGGGCCACCCACTGGCTGACCAGCCGCAGGATCTGCTGCCTCTTGTTGCAAATGTAGGTGCTGTGTTCCTGCTCACTGCCCCCTGAAGGCTCCGCATGGAAGGTGGGCGCCAGTCAAGGGAACCACAGCGGCCAAGCGGGCCACCCACCACACCTCAGGCAAAGGAGGGGCAAGGCTGCCCGGGGCCTGCTGACAGGCTGGCCTCGGCACGAGGCTGGTACTTCGGAGGGTTCAGCACAGCCCTGCTCTGAGAGACCCCTTCTCCCTGTTCCATACAACCTCCTCGTCCCCCTGGGGCTGGAAGGATATTGGTGCAGGAGGGCAGCACAGAGCTGGGCACTGGGCATGAAGACACTGTAGGTCAGGAGGAAGTCACTGAGGAAGGTCTCTGTAGGGCAGGGACAGGGGAACAGGAGGAAGCCTCAGAGGTCAAGTCTGCCGAGCACAGATGTCTGCGTGGCTGGAGTTCCCTTCTCCCAGTCCTGTGGTGGGCAGTGTCCCAGGAAGGCCCAGGTCCTGTGACGGCACTCCCCACCCAAGCCAAGGGCACAGGAATGAGGACTTCCTGCTGGCCCAGCCCAGCACCCAGTGACGTCACACTCAGGGTGCCTGGCCCTCTCCCAGACTACGCTGACCACCCAATGAGTCACACAGCAGGCAGGGTATCTCTTGTCCCTACCTGTTGGGTCGTGAGCACTGGAGTCAGGTCGCATGGCCTCCAACAGCAGTTCTAGAATCTTCTCTGGGGTGCCAGACATCACTGTATACCTAGCAGAAACAGCCGATCCATAGCCCTTCCCCCATCTGGGCAGACAGCAGGAATCACATCACCCTTCCCTATCTGCCAGCTCTGTCCCACCTCAGGGGTGGAGGGAAGCTCGCTCTGGGGGTGCATCTGATCCCCAGAAGCCCCTCCCCCCCACCCCGGGAGGCCAGCGAGCAGGGGTGAGACATGCGGGAAGGGAGTAAAGCCCGGGAAACGGAAGGAGAGAAGATGGGCAAGAGGGAAAGTGTGCAGGAGTGTGGCAGGTGTGTTACCGGTTCCTGCCTGGGGTTGGGGGGCGAGAAGGGCCAGCGCCCTGAGAGGCTCTCTCCAGCACCAACACCACTTTGCCATGTTCTTCTAGCCTCATGGTCTTTGCTTCCACATCCTGGAGAACAAGCCACACCCTGTGCTCAGTACACACCACGGGTCCTTTCCCCCTTTCCAGGGCATCTCCCTCCACCTCCATGCCAGACCCTGGGCCCCACAAGGCACCCACAAGGACATTCAGCCCTTCTCCCACCCCATTCAATGCCCGTGACCTTGGATCTGCCCTACTCCCAGTTCTGCCCATCATGCAGCCTGAGCCCCGCTCCTCCACCCATCCCTCCCCCACCTCCTTCTGTGGCTCCCACTCTCCATTACTCTGCCTCCCCTCACACCCTAGTCTCCCCCGACCCTTCTGTAACCCTCCACCCCCATGGTCTCCCACACTGAGCTGGGGTTCTCCAGTTTCATTGAACCTCCTCAGTGTGCTAGAGACGTCCCCACATGCCCACACCCCAGCCATCACCTCCAAGCTTCTCCAGCTCCTACCTCGCCATGATCCTTATAGACCCTCTCTGGTCCCTGCCGCTTACCCCCTGCCACTTCTCCAGAGAAGGATCCTGGCCATGTCCCCTGCCCTCCCCACCCCCAGTAACGGCACCTTGATGATACGGTTGAAGTCCTGCTTGTCCACGCGGAGGAAATGACAGTTGTCTTCTCGTAGGATGATGGTGGCTGCCCGGGGTGCGTCATTCACCAGCGCCAACTGTCCAAAGTCATCTCCCTCGTGCAGTGTGGTCACCAGCCCCTGCAGCCAGGTCTCAGTCATAGCCCAGCCAGGCCCCCCAACCCTCGTCAGAGCAGATCCATGGCGGGAGAGCCCCTGGGCAGGAGGAGACCTGGGGGATTGGCAACCTTGGGTCCATCGAGGTCCTGCCCACGAGGGCTTGGACCAGGGAAGCGGGTACCACCAAGAGGGCCGGGGAGAGAGGGAGAACTCACCTTGCCATGGGTCACCACATTGACAGACCCCTTCCAGATGATGTACCATGAGGTGCCCTTGTCTCCCTGGCTGAACACTGAGAGAAACGCCGATCAGACACCTGGGGTCACCTGCACTTCTCTGTGGCCTCTGCCGCGTCCAGACCCCTGGCGCCCGGCGTCCTGCCCGCCCCTCCCGCCCCCTGTCTGACTTACACACGGTCCCTGCTTTGCTGTGTGGTTCAAAGAGCAGAACAGCCGCTAATTCCCGCTTCACCTGTGAGGCGGGGAGCAGATGGTCAGTGGGGCAAGTCCGGGGTAAGAGGGGCCAGGCTAGCGGGGAGGTTAGGTCCAAGGACACAAACGCCCGGGGGGGTGGGGTGTGCGCAGAGATGAGGCTAGCTCAGCTGCCTGGGATTCAGCAGGAGACAACGCCCGGGGAGGAAATGTGCTGGGGCGGGGGTGGGGGGGAGGGAGAAGGATTTTTGGACAAGGATGCTGGGAACCAGAGATGGACATTTCCAAGCCAGAGGCCGAAGCGGCGGGGAAGCATCTTCTGGCCCAGCAGTTGGGGCCTCAGGGGTTCACAGGGAGAGGAGGTCCTGGGGAAGGGGTGGAGGCGGGCGGACTGACCGAGTTGGAGAGGTGGGCCACAGCCTTGATGTGTAGCAACTCCTCAAAGATGAGGTCCAGCTCCTCATCTGTGCGCTGACCCGGGCTGTGGGCACAGGGCGGCCGCGAGGCAAACAGCGCACTTGGGACCTGAGGGCACGGGAGCCACGCCACCCGCCACGCTGGGGCCTGGGGCTAGCCGGCCTCCGCAGTGATGGTGACCGGTAATGGGCCAGCCACTGCCACGTGCACACCACGTGCCAGCCTGAGGCCCAGGGCTTCGCACGTGTTATTTCAACCTGCCCTCGTGACCACCCCATGATGTGGGCATGGCTCTCCTCCTTTGACAGAAGAGGAAGCTGGCATGGAGAGGCCCAGGGCCACCCAGGGAGTCACCTGGAACTGGAACCCGAACCCAGACCTGCCCGCCTGCCCCCTCCCAGCCACCGCTGCACCTGAGCGCGCAGGGTCTTCGTAAGCCCCGTGCCTTCCACCCACAGTTACAAAGGAAGAAACCGGTTCAGAGGTGGGGAAGGGGGCTCCAGGGCACACAGGGAGAAGAAAGGGAACCTCTCAGAGATGAAACTGAGAGACTACAGAGTCTGAGAGCCGTGCGAGGCCTGGGATTGCGGGCTGCAGGGCTCCCGACTCACGGCTTTCGGAGTGCCACGGTGAGCAGGGCATCAGGCCCCCGCTGGGAGAGCAGGGCCACAGCCTCGACCAGCTCCTCCTCCAGCTCGTGGATGCCCACGGTCTCTGGCTCCGGCCCAGGGAAACGGTAGAATTGGGTGTCTCGGTCCTGGAAGGTCCAGTCGTGTTTCACTGCAGGGCAGAGGCCCGGGTGTGAGGGAGGCGACAAACCGAGGCCGTGTGGGTACGAGGCCCCCACCGTAATGCCCACCGACGCCTCGCCCCCAGATGCCTGCTCCCCAGGATTGCCAGGCCCGGGGGCCCCACCCTGGGCTCGGGCTCACCATGGCAAAGGGCACCTTCATCCAGCAGCACCTGGCAGATTCCCACGGCTTGGCTCCGGGAATGGACCCCAAGGCCCAGGGCCAAGATGCCATCCACCAGCTCCCGGCCAGAGCAGCATTGCCTACGGGAGGTAAGGGGACAGGGAAGAAGAGGGAGAATTAAAAGGCAGGAGGGTGGAGGGCAGAAGGGGGAACTTTGGGTCAGAACGGTGCCTTTCTAGGCTAGCAGCAGGGCGAGGCCCAGAGGCCTGAAGGAGAGCAAAAGGGAGAGAAGATGGGGGTGGGCAAGGAGGCAGCCCAGGACTCCACTCACCGATAGAGCCGAAGGTGGTACTTCCGGTCTCGGATAAGGGTCGGGCAGGTGGCCAGGAGTTGCCGATGCAGCTGCTTCCCAGCCCTGAGCACCCGCTCCGTGGAGGCCTAGGACAGGGAGCGTCCCAGCGGGCTCAGGCCCCGAACCCCTGGCTTACTGTCCCCTCCCAGCTCCACCCCTCCCGGCTGGTACCTGCTCCAGGCTCACGCTGAAATCCAGGGACTCCTCACTGTCAGTGAGTGGCGTCTAAGGGCAGGGGGGAGGGTCTGCACGTTAGTGCCAGCTCTTGGACCTCAGCCCTCCCCCTTTCCCTCCCCTCTTGCCCAGTCCCCAGCTCCAAACACATACACTTAGCTACTCGGTCAACAAATAAACTAATGCTCCCCGAGCACCCCTGTGCGCCAGGCATCCACCTCTTCCCACCCTATCACCAGACCCTTGTCTTCCTTCTAGACACAAGCACTTCACCCCAACAGATGAGATCCCCATTCTGCTTACTCAGGGCCCACGTGTGCCCAGGCCCCCAGGTAAACCACACCTGTGTAGGGAAGAGAGCTGAAAGAGCATGAGGATGGGAGGTAAGAAAGGTCCATGTCGCGCCAGGAAATGAGCATCTTTGCTCCCGGCCTGGGGTCACAAAGCCTAATCCCGAGCCGGGGTTCATCCCCAGCCACAAGACCTGGGGACTCCTGGATTCAAATCCCTACTCCTTCATTTACTAGCAGTGTGACCCTAAATATATGGTTTAACCTCTCCCTGTCTCAGTTTCCTTGTCTGTAAAATTTATAAAACACTCATAATACCAATACAGAGGCTTTGGGAAGGGTTCTGTGAATTAATGTGTATTGAATGTTTAAAGCACAGCTTAGCACAGAGCTGTATGTACATGTTAGCTATTATTACTCATCAGTGAAGCAGAGGGCAGGCTGCCTGCTGGAAAGCCCCTGTGCTCTCTGAGATGCTGCTGCTAGCCCATAACCCTGCAAGAGTGAGTAAGTCTTGACAGCACCCAGGACTGGCTCTGGAAGACAAGATTTATGTAGAAACCCTGGTTAACAAGGCTGCCAGGCCCTTGGTATCAACTGAGCCATCCAGGACCCCAGGGCCTGTATGTCCCGGGATGTTGGCCAAAACAGCCCCTTACGACCCTTCTTTCTCTGCCACCTGGAATTTGTGGACATCTCTGGACAGCATGCCCGACCCTCCATGAGCCCTCCCAAAGGCAGAGTACTTTACGGTTTACAAAGCATGTCTCGCTCCATGATTTCCTCTGATCCTAGACAGAAGAGGACCAGATGGAAAGTAGGCGGAGCAGGGATTGTCTGTCTTCTCTGACTTAGGAAACAGAAGTCTTGGGGTGAAGAGCTCGTGTAACTCAGTCACAAGTACATGGGATAACCAGACAGCTGTGCAGAAACTCCAGAAGTGCTCACATTCTTGGTCTCACCCCACCCACCGCACCTGCCTGGTTCCTGCCCCCCCTCTCACTAGCTCTCTCTCCTGCTTTCCCAGCTGCACTCAGGGCCCTGAAAAGGACCTGGCTGGGGAGCTGGGGTGCAAGCAGGCCCGGGGCCAGAACCCCCTCCCCTGGTCCTGGCATCTTCCCCCTGTGTGCCAGGCAGAGGCCTGAGGTCGGGCACGCACAGGCGCCTGGCCCAGGGCTGGGCGGAAGTCGCTAGGTGTCCCTAGGGTATCCCTGCCCGGGTCAAGGGGCCCAGCCTGGTGCCAGACACAGAGCCCTGGAGACTTAGCAACAGGAAATGAGGAGGAGGAGGAGGAGGAGGAGCCGGGGAAGGAGGAAGGGCAGGAATGCTACCCAGCCAGCCCCCTGTGTCGGAACAAACAGTGCCGAGTGCTAACGACTTGTTGTTGTTCATGTCAAAACGCCCAGGTGGCCCCGTCCCTGCCTCAATTCTCCCTGGTGCCCACGACCCAGGCTCCAGCCTATGCTCCCTTCCTGGTATTATTCCGACCCTGGAGGGCACATCAGGAGGGTTGGTGCCCGCTTCTGTGGCCAGGCTGGGCACAGCCCAGATCCTAGATCCCCAGGCCTTGGGGAAACCGTTTCCTGCCCTGCCCCAGGGAATAAGCACGAGGGTCAGGGGAAGGGGGCTCTGGCCCGTCAGAGCTGAGGAAGGTTCCTGAAGGCATCCCTCTCCATCTGCCAAGGAAAACGGGAGCCCAGAGAGATGAAGTAACTGACCCAGAGTCACACAACTACTCAGAAATTCTAGAGCCTACTGAATAACCAGCGCTGGCCCTGGAAGGAGGTGTTTGTCTCCTACCTCGCAGCTGGAGAGAAGGAGGCTCAGGGGTTATATGACCTGTCCTGAGTTGGTGAAGAGGGGCACCGGGATTCACGCTGTGCCTGCCCAATTCCAAAACACAAGTCCTTAACCACGAGGCACTAGGGCCTCCCAGGCACCTCCATGGCCTCGTGTTTCCCCCACCTTGTGCTCTGGACGGATAAATTTTGCCCTCAGGAATGTTCCATGGGTAAGTAAGTTTGGAAAACATTGCGTTAAACAAAGTTGCACGGGTTTGTTATCATAGTCCCTCTGGGTCCCTACCATGCGCATGTGCACTGGGAATGTCCTAGGATGGGGGCGAGGGTGCTAGTCAGGAGATCTGGTCAAGGTTGGGGGCTCCCGATCCAGATGCGCAGGTCAAATCTCAGCTCCCCATTACCAGGCAGTTGGGTGACCTTGGCTGCTTATTAACCTCCATGTGCTTCAGTTTCCTCATCTGTAAAATGGGGTTCATGATAATAGTACCTATCTTATAAGGTAATTATGAGGGTCAAATGAGTTAATAACATAAAGCACTCGAAGCGATGCTTGGCTTGTGGTAACCACTCAGTAAATGTTAAGTAACTTTGATTAAACTTCATTATTTTATGACGGGTGCCTATTACCCGGACATAATGCAAAAAATGTTGTACCTTCGCTAAACCTGTCCCTCATCTGATAACCCTGAGTGTCACCCTAGGGGTTCTCAGTTGGAAAGAAGTGGCTGGTATGGGGGGATGAAGGCCCTTGCCCACTGCGTCCCCTCCCGCCCAGACAGGAAGGACTCAGGGTAGAAGAGGAGGTGGTAGCTAGCTTCCCTAGCACCAGCGCCATAAGCCTGCCCCACCCTCCCTCCCTGTCACTCGGTGTCAGAGCCACACTGGAGGGGCCGGCACTGAGCCAGACAGCCTCGTGGGGACCTGTCAGACCAGTTCCCTTAGGCCATGGCTAGGGTCTCAGGCCAGGGCTGTGTGTGTTGGGACAGGGAGAGGACGCAAGGGGAGGGGTGATGCTTTGGCGGGGGTGGGTGGGGGTGGCGGTCACTGTTACCATCTGCAGCAAAAGAAAGTACACCATGAGCTCGGCCTCTACATAGCCAGATCACCTGGGACAGAAGCCTCACTTTGTCTCTTAGCAGGTGTGTAACCCTGGACCTGTCACTTAGCCCCCCCACCTCTGTTTTCTCATCTATAAAATGAGATGATGACATTAGTATCTATCTCACAGGGCTATTGTCAGATGATTTGATATGTTAAAAGTAAAGCTCTTATAATAGTGCCTGGGACTGGGGCGCCTGGGTGACTCAGTCAGTTAAGCGTCTGCCTTCGGCTCAGGTCATGATCCCAGGGTCCTGGGATCGAGCCCCGCATCAGGCTCCCTGCTCAGCGGGGAGCCTGCTTCTCCCTCTGCCTCTCCCCCTGGCTTATACTCTCTCTCAAATAAATAAATAAAATCTTAAAAAATAATAGTGCCTGGGACCTAAGTTTTAGACAACTATCAGCTACTACCATTGTTTGGACAGGTTGGATGAAAGCATATTTTCTGAGTTAGAGAATAGAGCCACCTCCCCCAAAACAATCTCTCAAAGGGAAGCTTCTCTGAGCTTGTAAGAACCACCAGAGGTATCCTGATCTTGCCCTTGCCCCTGGATAAATTGATTCTTCTCTGGCTTCCAGACATCAGACAAGATCTCCTCTCTCTCTCTCGCATTTTCCAAAGGAGCTGTTCTTCCATCCCATTCCAGGGTCACTTTTGCCATAGTTGGTAAATCTTTTCTCTATCTAACCTCAGGCCGTCCTGCTGGAACTTGCTTTCATTTTCTCTTGTCCTGATCTAGTCGCAACAGAAGGGCCCTCTTGAGGCCTCAGGAGATTGATGGGTTCCCCCTGGTTTTCTAAGAGGCTGTCGTGGCCTAAATAACTGTCCACACTGTCCTCCTAGCCTCCACCCCTTTACAACATCCACCCTTTACCCCATGTGTATACACTCCCTGCCAGCCCCTCGTTCCCTCAGGTGAGCGGTGCAACTTCCCGGGTACCCAGAGCCTCTTGACCAGCTGCAGTGGGCTGAAACCAAACCCCCCCCCTCCCGCGACTCCCCAGAGGTGGTCATCAGGAGAGGGTATGGCCCTTGCCCCTAGCCCTAAAAATCTAAGTTCCCTTTAATTACCCATTCCCACCTACCCCCACACACAACTGGCTGGCGGGGTGGGGGGGCAGGGGGGCTGTGTTTCAGTGACTTTCAGCCCATTTCCACTCCAGCAACCCTTACGCCACTCTTCTGGCCTCCCCACACACCCCAGCTCTTCAATTCTGGGGGCCGGAGGAGTCAGGAGACAGCCTGGCGGCCTCTTCCACTCCCCTGCCAAGTCTTTGGGTCCCAGGGGATCCTCCAGTGACCTCATTGTCCCGGCACCTGCCCTTTCCCCCACTCCCACCTTGCCTCTACAAGCTGGGAAGGGGACAGGAAATACACAAGTAATTATAGTCTGAGAGGGAAGGAGGGAGGGAGGGTTCCAGCCCACAGGCTCCAAGCAGTAGCTCCTGCCAGTGAGCTGGAGGGGTGGGGGAGATGGCTTGGCCCAGAAGGGGCCAGCTCCCCTGCTCCCTCCGGAGCCCCATCTTGAGCAGGACCCAGGCCCAAGTGGCCCTTGATCAGGAAGACCCAGGGAGGGAGGGAGGGGTTGGGGGAGAGCTAGGGACTGACACCTAGATTATCCTCTCAACTCTGATTGTGGGGAGGCCCCCATCACCTTAGCAGACCTCGTTTTTCTCACTCAGCCTCATATTCTGATAAATATAAATGGCAGTTGGGCAAGAGGTAGGAGGAAAGAGGCAGAAGGTGGTGGTCCTCCTACTCAAAGGGACTTGCTGATAAGAGACATAGGTGACAAGCTCTCCCAATTCTGTCACCTGCTCTTGCTTTCCCTCTACCCCTTTGCCCAAGTACCCTCCTGGCACCCCCCACCCCCTGCCAACGCTATCCCCATGGCCCACAGAATAGACACACGCTGAATCTCAGGGGAAGGAACTCTGAAGTCTGGGTGGTCGGAGAGAGCTTCTCTGCTGATCTGGATCCTGTCCCCCACCCCGCACCCCACCCCTCTTCCCCCTCCTGCCCTCTCCTTTATTCTCACAGCTCCAGGAGGTTCCTCACTGGCAAAGGGAGACTCCAGCTCCAGGCTCCAAACTTCTCAAAATCCTCCCCTGAGCCCCCCAGAGCCAGATGCCAAGCAGCGTTCACATGACCACCTCACCCCAAGATCAAGAAGAATTGGCGCAGTTCAGTGGCTCGCTAAAGGAGAATGTTGCCACGGTGATAGATCCAGAACAGCAACCAAGCTTGCCTCACCCTCCACCTTGACCTGGCCCCCAGTATTTCACACATGCCTCCCACCACCACCTGGAGGACACACAAGCACTTAACAGGGCGCACAAAGGTGACAGATCTGTGACAAATCCCTTTCCCCTTCCCCCACGCCAGCATGGACAGATGTGAGTACCGCACGCACACAGACACATGCGGTGCGGCTGTGGGTGCCACCCACACACCCAGCAGCCAAGCTGCTCGACCCACTGTGCAGCCCAGCGGTGGCCCCTGCGCCCCCAGCAGCATACTCCGTCTCCCAGTCTAGGCCCTCCTCCGGTCCCGGTGGCTGGCCCTCGCCAGGCCAGCTGATGGGCACTCACCCAGCGGAGCCCCTGGATGCGGCCGGGGCGCTGGTGCTCAAGCAGCAGCTGGTAAGAGCAGCTTCGGGGCCGGTGCATCCTCTTCAGCACCATGTTGAGCAGGGTCCCCTCCGGCACCACGTCCGGGAGGCCTCCCACCTGTGCCGCTCCTAGAGCTGGGCTGCCATCCACGGCCAGGCCCACCCGCCAGGGGCTCTCACCTGGCCAGCCCACCTGTGACGCAGGGAGGAAGGCAGAGAGCCATGGGGCTGGGGCTGGGGCTGGGGCAGCTGGACCAGGGCACAACCGCCCCAGGCAGAACCACTTCCTTTGAGTCCTCTGGACTGGTCAGGCGGAGGTGCTGCAACCCTGCCAGGAGCCGGGGGAGGGACAGGAAGACCTTCACTGGGGCCTGCCGGTCTGGCGCACTTCGGGGTCTCCAGCTGGTGGACCGGAGATCGGGCCTTTCTTCCCGGTCTCCTTTGGACTTCTGCCCCACCCCACTGCCCAGGTCCCTGAAGGGATCTCTGCCACCTCCCAGTGTGAGGCTGTGGACTCACTGAAACCCCCAGAAATGCAGCTCCAGCTCAAACCCCTCTTCTCCCCCTCTCCTTCACCCCTGACCAGCCCTCTCTCTCCCACCCAAACACCCCACCCACCATGTCATCTTCCTCTCCTGCTCCTGCCGGCCCTGACCCCACCTTACCCACCTTCATGTTCCTTCGCAAACGTGCACAGCCCTGCAGGCTCGAGCAAAAGGCTGGGGCGGGGGAGACCCTCCGCGAGACCCCGACTGCTCCCAGAGGGGTGTGGGCTGGAAGCCCCAGGCGAAGTGACCAGGGTAATTCCTAGCTGGACCCGCTGCCAGGGCTAAGCGTTGGGTGGAGAGGCTTCTTTTGGGTGGGTAGAGGGTAGGGGGCGTGGGGGGGGAGTTCCCCCCCCCCCAGCGGCAAGGAGCCCCAGGCCTCCGCCTCCGTCCCAGGCGAATGAGCCAGCTGGCACCGGGCGCCGAAGCGAGGCTGCCGCTGGCACTGGTCCGGGCGGGAGCTGTCACACCCCCTGCGCTCCCCGCCCCCTTCCCCTCCCCGGGACGGGCTGAGAGGGCGGAGAGGAGGCGCCCGGCCGGACGGTGGGGGAGGGCGCAGGGAAGGGGGCGGGCTTGAGCAGGGGGGTGGAGTCCGGACTCGGGGGTAGCGGGGCGGGCGCCAGCCCGAGGCCTGAGAAGCCCCGGGGGGCAGGAGCGGCCCGGCTTTGTGTGCCAGGGCCGCCGCGGCCGGGGTGTCGGGGTAGGGGTGGTGAGTGGCGGCACCGGCCGCCACGTGGCCGGGAGGAGAAATGCAAACAAGGAAACCGGGGGAAGGGGGAGGGGGGGTGAGTCATTGCGGCCCCACCCGGGAGGGAAATCCGGGCTGGGGCCGCTTCCCGGCCGGGGGCGTCCTGCCTCCTGCTTCGGTTCAGGGTCTCGAACAGCCCGGGGGAGGGACTGGGCTACTTTCCCGTGGGGAATCCCGCTGCGGAGCCTCCCTTCCCCGCCCCCGCCGGACACACACACACACACACGGGCGCGGGTGGGGAAATTGAGGCTGGGGAAGAAGGACTGCTCTCCGGAAGGGATGGGGGCCGGAGTTGGGGCGGAGCTGCGGAAGAGAGGGGGGTTTCTAGAACCACGCCCCCAGCGCGCTCCCTGGCTGCCGGGCGGCTGGCGGCAGAGCCTCGGGATTCCAGAGTCCTCTGCAGGCTCTGTACCAAAGGCCGGTCGCTTTCCTGGGCTTCAGTTCCCCGCTCCGCGCAGAAGGCCCAGAGCCGCCCTCCTCGCCCCACTCCTGCTTGGGAGAGGGTGGAGAGACAGCGGCTCCTCACCGCCACACCCGCAGCGCCCAGTAATTGGTCAGGACGGGGATGAGGGTTTGGAAAGGAGTCGCACGCCCCGCCCCCCGGCTTTCTAGGACTCACTTTTTTTGGCCCAGTCTCGGTCCCTTTCCCTTTGCTGCTGAGCCTGCCTGAATTGGGGAAGACACTAAGCATCCTGCCAGCTTTGGGACGCTGAGCCCCCATGTCCCACCGATGATTATTTTCTCGGAGCAGTTTTTAATGGTGATTAAAATCTCAGTTTTAATGTGTATTTTAAAATCCACCCAGGAGCTTATCAAAATGAAAGTTTTATCCTCCCCACTCCCCCAAAATTCAGATTCAGTTCTATTGGCATGTAACGGAAAATCTGTGTTTTGAGCAAATACATAAGGTTATCTGCTGTGCTCACATTTTGAGAAATGCCCCTTCAGGGAAGGAGGGGAGCCTGAGAATATATTTGGCCCCAGGCCCAAACCCACCCACCCACGTTCTGGGAATTTGGAAGAAGCGAGAACAGCTTAGTTGTTGGCAGAAAAGAATAACAGGCTAGGGGCACAAGGGTGCATGCAGAAGAGAGTTGAGGGGAGTTAAGGCTTTAGGTTGCTGGGGCTAGTGACCTGATCTAGAAGGTCTTACAGAGGAGTTTCAAGGGACGGGCAGTGGGGTCAGAAAGAGGTTCCCCATTTCGTCTTTATACCTGCCCTTATTCGGGCAGGTTGAAAAGGAGCTGGCAAATGAAGCAGGACATCTGCATACCTGCAGACTTCTCAGCAAGCCACGAGAGCCTGTAGGTGCCTGGCACTGTTCCAAGTGCTTCACGTATGTAATCTCTGCCGCTCGTTACCCTGTGAAGCCGCACTACCCTTATTCCCACTTTATATGCATGGGGAAACTGAGGCCCCGAGGTATTAAGTGACTGGCCAAGGTCACATAGCTAGCAAATGATGAGCTGGGGCTTCAACCCAGGTTGCCAGGCTCCACTTAACCCCCATGCTGTACTGCATTGGGTACCCATCATATTCATTCTCCTAATCTGGACTCTATGCCTAAAGGAGAAAGCTATGGAAAGGGAAATGGAGCCTGTGTGCAGGGGTTGGGGTGGGGGGTGCGAGGGTGCAAAAAAAAGCCGTTCAAATCGGTGCAAATGGAAGTGTCTCAGACCCACTTTCCCCCCACCTATGTTCTCCCTCAACGCTACTCTTTCCTTTTCTCGGGGCTCTTTCTCATTCCCCCTCTCCTGGGAGACAGAGAAAATGGCTGGGGTGATTGCCTGTTCCCTGGCAGCCAGGGCATTGGACCTCCCACTGGTCTCGTTCTCATTACTGGCAGGCAAAGCCTCCTGCCTCCCCCCCCCCCCCCCGACCTCCCCACTTCCCAGGCAGATGATGGGCCTGAATTTTTCCTTCTTGGGATTCCTGAGTGAGGGCTGCTTCATAGAATTGCCACTCAACAGAGGTTTAATCAGGGCTGAGGCCTGCAGGTGGTGGAGGACAAGGGGAGTGTGTCTGAGGAAGACATCCCAAAGACAGATGGTGAGGCATCTCCAGAACAATCATGCTCTGCCCCAGTGCAACCTTCACCCTCCCCTGACTGTCATTAGATGCCTGGAGATGTGTTAGGACCGATAAATAATAACAAGAGTTACCCTGCCTCAGGCCCTGCTCTTGATTCATTACATACATGCACATTTTTAATCATTACAGCAATACTATAAGATAGGTCTAATTGTCATCCCATTTCACAGATGAGGAAGTTGAGACACAAGAAGGTTAGATGGCCTACCCAAGGTCCCCTAACTAGGAAGACGTAGAGCAGTGGGTTCTACCCAAGCCGTCAGGAGTCCTGTGTGCTTTTCCATTCTGCAATCCTGCCTCTCAAATACATCAACAGTTCCCATGAAGGGGAAAACGCCCTTATCCAGAGTCATTTCCCCCACAGCTGGATGCACAGGCTCCAGAAGGAAGGGAAGGGTGAGGCAGATGATGGAAGCTGAAGGGCAGGGCCCCTTGACGCAGTCTCCCCATACAAGGAACTCTCCGCCAACCCTGCCCATTCCCTTCAGGCAGATGGCAGGGGACTGCAGAGGCCCCCAAAGAATAATGGAGGAGGGTGCATGGGTAAGGAGAGGCCTCTCTGCCGAGCTGTCCACTCAGAGCCCACAGCTTCCTGGATCCTCACAGGTGCCTCACAGGTGGGGGGTGGGGGGTGGTTGTCTGGACTCCCTCCTCCTGCCCTGCCTCTCCCCGCCGCCCTGCCTGCTCCCTGCTCCAGGAGCCCCACCCCCACCCCCACTGCCTAAGCCCCCAACTAGATTCCTCCGTGTCTCCTCCCACATCCAATCAGCCATGCCACCAGCTCTGGCCCAGTCGACGGAGGAATAATCTGTTACATTCAGCCCTTAACGCCTGCTGCAACTGCTCTGGCCCCAGGCTGGCCTCTTCCAGCACTTACTATGCGCAGGGTGCTAGATCACTTCATGGACTTCGTCTGAGAGAACACTCTCCGCTTGCAAGTGAGGACACTGAGGCACAGAGAGGTGAAGTAAGCTGCCCGCGGCCCCACAGTGGAGTTTGGTAGAGCCAGACCCAGGCAGCTGGACTGCAGAGCGCACACTCCACCACTCTTGGGGACTGCCTCCCCGTTGCTGCTCTCAGCCTCGCCCTCCTCGCCCCCTCACTCTATCCTGTGCCCTGCTGCACAATCCTCAGGTCATTCCGCCGCCGCATATACCGAGCCCCGGCAGCGCTGTTCTCAACTAGGAACCTAGAACTGAGCAGACCCCGGGCTGCACGGGCGCAGGGCCAAGTGGAATTTTCTTTATCTCCTTAACACACCCATCTGGTCAGGCCTCCCTGCCCAGCACAGTGTCTGATGTAGAGCTTAGCGGTGGAAATGAAATGAGTGGGAACTGTGGGAGACCAGCTGGTGCCCACCAAGGGCTGTACCCCAGGGCCAGGGGAGGGAGAGGGGCTGCTTTTCCAGCTCCCCGTGGTCCAGCTTCTGAGGCATCTGGTTCCATCTCCCTCCCTCCTCGCTGCTTCCCTGCCACCTACTCTGTTCTCCCGTCCTGTGCTACAGACTTTGCTCACAGGCTCAGCTCTGTCGTCTGAGATTGGTTGGTGGGATGCACGGTGGGAGGTTAGAGGAAGGTTTAACTAATGGGCCTACGGGACTGCAGGAAAGGGCCGGCTTGGAGACCAGAGGTTGGAAGGGCTCTGCCTGGGAGCCCCAGCCTGCTGCAGCCTCCCTCAGCATCCCTGGGATTCTCCCTGGGCCAGGGCCGATTGACAAGGGAGAGGAACTTGAGCCCAGTACCCTCATGGGGGCTCTGTCTCCTGGCCCTGGAAGGTTTCAAGTCCTCCCGTACTTGCCCAGGTACCTTGCCCTGAGGGTGGTTCCAGTTCAGTTCCCGGCTCCCCTCCCTGCCCATTCCTGGGGTGGGGGGCAGAGACAGGGAGCCGAAATGCTAATGAGCACCGAGCCAAACTTTCTCAGGACGAGCAGGTCCCAGGCAGGCGCTCAGGGGCCACTTTAACAGCAGTGGCAGGAGGAGAAGAGCAACGGGCTCCTGCCTTCTCCAGGTGGGGGAGGTCAGCCAGCTGGGAGGGAAGGCTGGACAGGGCTGGGGGCCGGTGGGGATCTGACCCCATACTTTCCGGGAGGCACATTCTCCTGGCTGGTGCTCAAGCTAGTCATGTGCGAAAGGGGCAAGGAAACAATCACTGAGCTGGCCCCTGGTGGTGACGGTGGTGGCTGGAGGGCGAGGAGAGGCCGGGAGAGCAGGAGGGAAGGCAGGGGCAGGTCTGGAGCTGTGTGGGAGGGAACAGGCCTGCCTAGCAGGCAAATGTGCTCTTCTATGAATGTGCATAAATAAGGAGCTGCTTTTGTTTCTCAAGGGCTCTGTGTGTGTGTGTGTATGTGTGTTTGTGCGCTCGTGTGTGTGTGTGTGTGTGTGTGTGTGTGTGTGTGTATCCCAAATACCCAGGAGACTCTGCATCTGACCTTGAGTGATCAGTGCTGGGAAGTGGCAGCTACAGGTCAGGCTCGGAGGGCCTCTCCTTCTCCCTCACTCCTGCAGCTCTGTCGGAACTTCCAGCCTACACTTGCCTTTACCCCACGCACACCACTCCTAGCCTTTCCCTGAGGCTCATCACCCCCACCCCCTCCTCCCCCTTGCCTTCTCCCAACATTCCCGG